ATTATTAATTTAACTTTTTTTATTTACTTAAAAAAAACATTTCCTACATACAGTATATACATTAAAGATGCACCAATCAGCCAGTTTTGATTTCTATTGTTTACAAAGCTCTGATTGCTGATTTCTATATTTGTAAGAACTATAAATTACAACAAAAAAGGTTAAATCATGTTATCTGGACCAGTTTCTTTGAGAAATGACACGATTTAACCTTTTATGCTGTTATCTACCTGGATGATTGAGCTTACAACCGCTTTTCTGAACAAAGTATGTATTTTTTTTACATTTGTGGTTAAATTGAAATGTCTGTTTTTCGTTATAACTTAAAACACACAAAAAAATCTACAATATACATATTTATGAACCAGATCATAGTTCCTTAATTTTCTTAACTTTTTCACACCCCAAACCTACAAATGCACCGACTGAATATGTCACCAGTTTAAGCACCTGTTGGTGCTGGTGAAGTCAGAGCAGAAAGGCAGCAGCAGGTTCACCTTTGTAAGAAATCTTGGTTCCTTTTAGTTTACTTCAAGACCTCATCCTAATTTTATTACTAGAATCCCCTTACAAATGTTGATTTAAAATTACATCCGAGTCTTCATCACTCAGTTAAACATCAGCATCAAAATATCACAGCACCAACTAAATTTAGAAACTTTTACACAGATACCGGTAATTTGCAGACTTCAGTCATTAACAGGAATCAGACCATTTTATTTTGCTGCTCCTTTACTTCTTAGTAGTAGTTTATATATATTTATATAGAAATATTTATAATATGCTTTATATATATATATATATTTATAGATTATCCATGCTGCTGATCTCATGCTGCTGATTTATTTCATGCTGCTGTATTAATTTGTACTCATCACACAGACTCATGTTCGTGCTGCTTTTGTTAGGCTTATTGTTTTGCACTATTACTGTTTAGCGTATTTCTTAGTTTATATCTTAGATCCTTGGTACTGTTTTGTTTTACAATTTATATTTTTGATATTGTTGGATGTAACTGGGACCCTGTGTATACAATTTAGTTTTCCCTTATGTACCACATGCAATGCGAATGACAGTAAAAAAAACTTGAACTTGTAGTTCTCCACAGAACATCTTTTCCAACAGCTGTCCTGCTCTGTGTTGCAATAGTTTCTGTAAAAGTGTCTATTATTAGCACCAGTCAGACACATAACTGTGGTTAAGAAAAAGAAAAAAAACAGTATAAAGCGGCAACTTTAAAACCATCCCCATCAACTGGGCCATTAAGGGTATAACAGAAGTATAAATGCTCTCACCAGAGTATGTTTCTTATGTGGAATCTGGAATTGGTCTTACTGCACTGTTATGTTATTTGACCGTCTGCATCAAAAGGGTATCTGCTATTAAAAAAAGTTTGGTTCTCTATCTAAAAAAGTTCAATCTGGTCCTCTGGACATTTAAAAAAATGTAGAAACGTTTTGTCTTTCATCTGAAAGGGTCATCAGGACTCTGTACCACAGAGCAGACAGCGTCCCCACTTACTCAGGAGCCAGGCAGAAGGAGAAATCCCACACAAGACAGGCTCTAGAGCAATGTGGATATCCTAACTGGGCCTTCCTGAAAGCAGAGAAGAAACCCAAACAGGACTGCAGTCAGCCAACAGGTGAAAAGGAGGAACCCAGACCCAGACCAGTGGTCATTCCATATGTTGAGGGAGTATCAGAGAAACTGAGACGTTTATTTCTAAAATCAACGTCCCAGTGGCTTTTAACCCCCAATATACATTACGGCAAAGACTGGTTCATCCCAAAGATCCAGTCCCCCGGCACAAACAGAGTAATATTGTGTATGCTGTTCAGTGTCAGGAGGGCTGTGATCAGTCTTACATCGGGGAAACAAAACAGCCACTGGCCAAAAGGATGGCCCAGCACAGAAGATCAACATCATCAGGCCAGGACTCTGCGGTCTACACTCATCTCCAGGCCAGCAGTTACTCTTTCAAGGATGAAGATGTTCACATCCTGGACAGAGAGGAACAAGGAGGCCATCTTTGTGAAAAGAAATCGTCCATCGTTAAACAGGGGTGGAGGCCTCCGGGTTCAAACTCTCATTTAAAATACTACAGATGACTAGAAGAATCTCACGCACTAATCTTTTGTATATTTTACAAGGATGTTGAAAGAAAATGTCCCAGGAATGTCTGGAGTGAATATTGGAAACATTTACAGTCTGACATGGCAAGTTCATGGAGCGTCTTTGGAAAACCTTAGGACTGCAACATACAGTATGTGTGTGAAAACAGATCAGTAAGGTCAAAATGTTTTAGCACTACTTAAGTGTGATGTGGGACCATAAAATCAGGGAACTAGGAAGTAGCTACAATGTAACCCAAGAGGAAACTGTCCTTGGTAATAAGAAAAAACGTGTTTTTTTTGGTCACAGACTGTTACTGCAAGTGTTTGACCAAACTACGGATACAAAGTCCTGCTCCAAAATCTCTGAAGAGAGTTTTTGCAGGAAAACAGTAATGAAAGTCCAACAGAGTTAAGTCAGGTCCTTTGGACAGATTCAAAAATATAAAAAATAAAAAACTTGTTGAAACATTTTGTCTTTAATTCAAAAGACTTTGTCAGTCTGAGGAGCTGCAGCAAGCTCAGTATCATAATGGATCAACCAGTTGATTGTTGACATCCAAAGCTAGCTGTTCACATGCTAAAGGAGGACCATGAGCCTAATGATCGATCGTTAGTGCTCTGATGGCCGCTTGCTATTCACAGGTGGCTGAGTGCTACTAGCAATAACAGCATTGTAAGAAGGCGATGATAAAACTGGGAACTGTGCTCACAGAAGATCAACATCATCAGGCCAGGACTCTGCGGTCTACACTCATCTCCAGGCCAGCGGTCACTCAGGGATGAAGATGTTCACATCCTGGACAGAGAGGAACGATGGTTTGAGAGAGGAGTAAAGGAGGCCATCTTTGTGAAAAGAAATTGTCCATCATTAAACGAGTGGAGGACTCCATGTTCAACTGTCCCCCTCTTACAATGTTGTGATTGCTAGTATCACTCAGCCCTCTGTGAACAGTAAACAGCCATCAGTGTGCTAATGATCCATTGTTAGGCTGATGGTCCTTCTTGAGCATGTGATCAGCTGGTTTTGGTTGTCAGCAGCAAAACTGGTTGATCCACTCTGAGAAGGTGCTATTTAAGAGACTGAGCTGAATACAGCACCTCAGACTGAGGAAGTCTTTCAGATAAAAGATGAAACGTTTCTAAAAAAAAAAAAAAAATTGTTTATTTTTTGAATGTGCAAAGGATCAGATTTAACTTTTTTTTTAGATTTTTCTACCTTGATTATTTAGCATGCATTTAGTTCTCAATATTCTACCTTTTTTATTTTCCCCAACAAAATGAACTTTCTCTGAAAAATGTTTGCGTCTCTGTGGTTTCTTCTGGAGCTGATTTTAGCATCAAAACTAATCCAACTTGCCCCGTTTGTACTGCTATTGACTACCAATACTCCTTTATTGTTTTTTTCTGACACTATTTGTTCTGTTTCTAAAAAAAAGACACATTCCACTATGTGCTTTTGATTTCATTGTCACTGCTGGTTGGTTGTCCGCTGTCATGGAGCGAAGAGGGGGAATTGGGAATCTGTCCCTCCATCTGCACACGTTATGAGCATGATAACTTAAAAATAAGTCAGCTGCTGTCTTCCATTTTAGGGTGTGGCTGCATCTAGGCTTAAGATAAGTGCCTATAGAAAATTGGGTTGCAAAGTTAAAATCCAAGACGGCCAAAGATGCATGTATATTTAAACTGACCACACCTATCACTTAAGGAAAATTTGCTTCTAGTTTTTAATGTTCTCACATAATTGGGGTAGACTTTAGGGTGACCGAGGTCACACATGGCCACCCCATGGCTCTGCCAATGCACCTGTTTGTGGATAAAATTTCTCCTTCTGCCTGTCAAGATCCGTCACTCTGAGCTACCTGGGACAACCAAAACAACCAAATAAAAAAACAACAACAACTGTATTTTTCATACATAAGGCACACCGGATTATACGGCACATTAAGAGAAATAAAACATTCAGATAAGTCAAACTTTATTCAACTCATTCACAATAACTCTCAACATTGTTCAGTTGTACCACATAAAATCAGTTCAAGGTCAGTAAGCACAACCAGAATTAATACATAAGGTGCACTGTCGATTTTTGAGAAAAATGCAAGGATTTAAGTGCACCTTATAGTCCGAAAAATACGGTACTTCTGTTGTTATACACAATGTAATCCCTACCCACTTGAATATCTTGCACACAACATTAAGGTTTACTTGTGTTCCCTGTTCAATTCCAGTCCAGAAAAACTTGAAAACTACAAACATTCACTATTCAAATCCCTCAGCGATGGGGGACATTGGTGTACCGCTGGTTTTGTTGACCTTAAACAAATCTTCATATTGTTCAGGCAACATTGAGGTAAAATTTGTCTTTATGTGAAGTCACCATCTTCACTGGTCATTCCTCAGGCTTGCTGTTCAACTCAACATAAAGGATTTTCTCAAATGTGCATTTGTTTATCTTTTTCCTGTTTCAAAACATTAACTGAAATTGGTCAGAATGATATCGATTTAGAAAACTGGGTACAAGGATTACACACATAATCATGAGATTATCCAGGTATTACTTTGTAGTAGGAGGTGTCCGGATAAAGTTTGTACAACGTCTGGTCTAGCTGATTTGGATGGTTAATTTTAACACAGCGCTCCTCTGCTTATTATTTACATATGTTCTAGGAAATAACAAGGCTGGAGTGCATATATGACAACACCTTTTGTCACAAAGAACGTTTCAGACAGTGGGGACATTAAAAAGCATTTAATTCAGCATTAAAAAAAAAAATAGTGGTTATGGTCATTCTTTATAAGTCATGTTCTCTCCTCCTTCCACTCTCTGTAAGAGCTTCACTACATGCTCGTAACCATCTGCATGTATCTGTTTTTTCTCTGTAGGTGACAAAGATGGCAGCAAGGTAACGACAGTTGTGGCCACTCCAGGCCAAGGCCCTGACCGGCCACAGGAGGTGAGCTACACGGACACGAAGGTCATCGGCAACGGCTCTTTCGGAGTCGTCTATCAAGCTAAACTGTGCGACTCTGGGGAGCTAGTGGCAATCAAGAAGGTCCTGCAAGACAAGAGATTTAAGGTAGAACCTGTTTTAAACGCATGCATTCTTTAACATGTAGCACACCGGGTACTTACCGGTAACTGTCAGTTGTCACACAAGGCAGGACAAGCAGGATGTGCAAATTATGAGAAGGCAAACAAACTCAAAATGTTTAGTTTTGGTCTTGCTTTGTTGTGTTTTTTCGTAAACTTCAACCAGCACAAAGATTTCCCACAGCAAGGAAGGAAGTGAGTAACCGTGAATGAGATGTGAAAGAAGTGATCTTTCACACAAACAGAGATCAGAGAAGCTGCAAAACAAGAGAAAACAAAGGTCAATCTTCCAACAATGTGTGTAACGTGTATTTTCCTGCATGGAGTGTGTAGTAGTTGGTTTTTTTTTTTCTCACAAAGTGGAAAACATTAATACTTAGTCATCTGTCATGTTTAATTTGGGTGCCATGCAGGGAATGTGATTTTTCTCTCAAAGTGAAGCCCTGCTGGATTCTCCTCTTGTGCTTTAAATCAACTGAAAGCTTTCCGTTTCTGTTGGCTGAGAGCCTGAGTGTGTGCATGTGTTAATGTGGACACAAGTATTCAATTAAGAGGGTAAATAACAGCTTTGATAGTTCTGGGAATATAACATGACAAAGAAATCTGGTTGTATACCCCCATAAATACTAACGTTGCTGATTACTTTCATGTGTTGAGTAATAAGTATCTTCAGTCAGTTTGGATCTTAATGGATCAACAATTTGGACATAAACACAATATTCACAATAATTTTTGATACATTTATCTTTAATATGATGTAGTCTCTTATTATTAGCTTTAATGTGGAAGTTTGATTACTGAGTTATGTCTGTAGACGTTGATAAATTGTATTTAATAAAACCTACAGCCTTGGAAATAGTTTGTACATTTGACTCTAGCATTTCACCAAGGGTCGTTGTTTATTTATATATATATATATATATATATATGTTCAGTTTTTACTTGAACTTTTACATCTTAAAATAACATCATACTGATTAGTTTAGTGGTGTAATAGCTGAGAGTCATTCCCAACATATGCTCCGAGCACTAATAGACCAGCCTGCAGTCCAGATCTTTCACCTATAGAGAACATTTGGCGCATCATAAAGAGGAAGGTGCAACAAAGAAGGCCCAAGACGATTGAACATTAGAGGCCTGTATTAGACATGAATGGGAGAGCATTCCTATTTCTAAACTTGACAAACTGGTCTCCTCTGTCCCCAGACGTCTGTTGAGTGTTGTAAGAAGAAGGGGAGATGCCACACAGTGGTAAAAATGGACTTGTCCCAACTTTTTTGGGATTTGTTGACGCCATGAAATTTGGAAACAACAGATTTTTTCCCTTAAAATAATACATTCTCTCAGTTTAAACTTTTGATCTGTGATTTGTGTTCTATTCTGAATAAAATATTAGATGTTGGCACCTCCACATCAATGCATTCAGTTTTTATTCACAATTTGTTTAGTGTCCCAACTTTTTTGGAATCCGGTTTGTTGTAGAGTGCTGTATGAATGGGTAAATGAGGACACAGATTGTAGTGTAAAGCGCTTTGAGTATCTCGATAAGATAGAAAGGCACTATACAAGTACAGCCCATTTACCATGCAGCAAATGCAAACGTTTGCTGCATGCGTTTCTCTTTTGACACAGCTTGGGGTGTTGTTTCAGGGACACGTTGGCTCAAACTTTTATTGTGCTTCATCTTCTGACTCTCAGCATATTCTATCGAGTGGAACAAGTTAGATGTGTTCCCACCGCTGGTTGGAACGACTTTCACATTTTACAGCACACTGACTGAAACCTGCAGTTTATTGGATCTTAGAAAGCCGAACCTCTTCCACGCCGCCGAATTAGTCTTTCCTCTCTCCTCAGTGATGTCATCTGCTTTCTCTTCGCTCGTGAAAGCTTGTTCGGTCACATTCTGATGGTCATGGACACTCATTTTGAAGCAAAAACTTAACCACGCACTTATGTAGTTGTGTCGCAGCTTTTTCACCCGGACAGAAAACTAAATGTGTCAGTGAAACGCTGTAATCATATCGAAATATCGAAAATGTGTTTAAAACTCATTTTACCGTTATTGAAAAAAAGTATATTGCGACATGTATCGATATCGAATTATTGTCCAGCCCTCCTACAAGTGTTACAGAACATTCACTTCAGGTTTCACTCTTAAATCTAATTGACAGAACTGACTGTAATAAATTATGGATGCATCTAAACATCAATCTAAGTTGATAAAATATTTATTTTTGTTGCTCATTATTTCACAGCGTCTGCTTTTTAAAATTTTTTTTTTTTTTTAACAAAGTTGGAATGCTTCAGCAATACATGTTCACATTTGTCTCCTGGACTTGCAACCTGCAACTCTTTATTTTTTCTAGAATAGCTGCTAAAATTTACCATAGTTGGAGCTATTTGTACTTTAAACTGGTTTGACTAAATACTTCAGCAGCTCAATGCCCTACTTTTTGAACCTGTATGAAGGTTTGACTTTGTTTTTTTTTTTGGCGTAAGTGTTTCACTCTCCAAAACCAGACAAGATAAATGATGTCATTTAACGGAGTGGGGGTCGACCATCTGCCACTGAGTTTGCGGTGCTTCTCAGGGACTCGCACACTCTTTGTGACTGTGTGTTGGGCTGTAATGAAGTTAAATTCTGCTCTTTCTAGTAGCCTGTGGTTTGCACGAAACACCAGCAGGTTGCATTTTTAAACGGCTCGGTGATCAGCTGAAGATCACACGCTGTTAAATGTGTACTTTTCCACTTTAAAGCAGACCCTCTGTCTCTGCCGGCTTCTTTCTGTCCTTTTTGCTTTGCTTATTCTCACTCAGCCCGTCTTCCATGTGAACAGCTGGTGAGGAAAAATGAGGCAAATGAGCACTAAGACTTTTCACATGACTATCAGGCATGCTCTCTGAATGCATTTACACAAGCACGTACCTATGCTGTACATTTATTCGCTAAAAGCACCCCCCCCCCCCCAAACCTTTTTGTTTTAGCCTGATTTGGGATTCATTAGTAAGCCTTGGTTGATCAGTTTATCCCACATCGGCACAAATAAAAGTTTTGTTTTATTTTACCAACACACAGAGAAATCCAACAGAGTAATCATGTGACTAGACTGTGCGTTAGGGTGTAGCTGATGAATCTTCGAGACAATCTTGGTGGGCTTACAGTCTGCTTGTTGTGCATTATGGGATAGGTCCATCTCCTATTCCCATTTGACGGATCACATATCAGTGTATTGGAAAATGGATGCTCACATTAGGAGGCTCACAGAGAGCGGGCGCTTGTCTGGTGGCTGTTGCTCTTTAGCAGCATTAATGAACAATAGGGCTAGCAAATTATCAGTATTTTTTCTTCTTGTTAACAGAACTTAAAAAAAAACACATACAATGCTATTAACCACTATTTTACATTTATTTGATTAAAATCTACTATCGGAGTCCTTTCAGAGATCACTGAAGGACTTGCGTTTAGTTAGGAATCCTCTAACACGTCAATAAAACTTGGAAGATTAGCAGTGAACCATCACATTTGAGAAACCTTAAAATTGATCGGATAAAAATATTGAGGGATTGAGTTTTGAGATCATTTAAATTAGGGTTGGGAGATTGGGGATCGGACGATAAATGAGAACCAATTTTACAGATAAAAAAAAAAACAATTGTTTTTTGTTTTAACAAGATTTGTCTAAACTTTGTTTATATTTCAGAGCACTACCTCATGGCCAGTTAAAACAAGTTTGTATTGTTTCTAGGATATTATTCAAGGGTATGTTTTTCAATAAAATAATATTGGAAAATTGAAGGTGCATTGTGAACTTATAACACTTGACAGTGACGATTATAAAACAAAATCGGTATAACAAACAACCCATCCTGCTGTTGTGCTGGGATAAAATCTTAAAGACTCTCTGGAACGCAAACAACAAGTAACTTAAAGAATTCAATTTCTTACTTTATCATTAGATACTATTCCAGTATGTTACTTTTTTCTTTAGACACCATTTCAAAAGGGGTCCAGGGTTGGCTTTTTTGGTCTTATTTATCCGTGTCTCAAGTGCAAATTAGTAAAAGCAGCTGACAAATACAGTACAAAAATACACTATTTTTACTGATGCACTTTTAGCTTCTATTCTATAACACATTCAGCACCATTTCAATATTGATCATCACATCTGGTTTGCTCAAGAGCTGCATTACTTTTATCACAAAGGTCTTATGTGATAGGACAATTAAACAGTTGCATCATCTTTCCAGCAGACCCCACAGAGCTCCTACAAGGTTAACTGTACAGTACAAGTACTAGATATAATAGAAGCATCACTTTATTCACCGTTTTTCTTATCAAGATGGACCCATCCGTTATGGAACAGGGCAAATCTATACTCAGACTACATGTTCTCTTTGCTTTTTTAACCACATGATCCAATTTTTAAACCACCTGATGAACAGAAGCTTTTTTATTAGTGTGACTGATAAAAGCTGTGAAACCTTTTAAATCTGAACTGTTTTAAAAGTTGAACATTTTCTCATACAAGTCAGCCTTCAATGAGAAGCTGTTTGCTTACGTCCAACAGGTGAATTTTACTTTGTCAGTTCCGAGATTTCTCTAATGCCCAACTAGGCCTGTCGCAATAAACAATAAATCAATTAATCGCATGATGAATTAAAATTAACAACCTCATTTTCACTTATCGCTTTATCGTTTCTTCATGTCTCTCTCTTTCTGCTGAAGACACGATTCAACTCCGGTGCTCTTCACTGACCCCTCCCTTTCGCTTTTCTCTTTAAAATCTGTTTTAATTGTCCAAAATCTCGTTTTTGGATCGTTAAAAGCAGCTAAACTGAGAAGCTAAGCTACGAGCTAAGCTAACAGGCCGACCTCAAGGGAAAAAACCTCTGTCTTGTCAAGGCTCCAAAATTCACTGTTGAAACCCGTGCCTTTGCATAAAAAGTTGTTTTTCTCTGCAAAAAGAAGCTGAGAACTTGTTTACTGACTTTTTATTAAAAACCTTGTGTGAAAAATGCTATGCTAAAGAGCTCAAATCACCGAGCGTCTGCCATGTCAGCCCATGTCATGTCAAGACCCTACCTCCCATTTTTCGTAAAGAGACACGCTCAACTATCCATCCTTTGGTTCAAACAGTCTTATACTGCCATCAGGTGGTCAAAAAAGGTACTACACTCTAAACAAATCAACATTTCTTCTAAAATTTGTCAATTAATTATTGTTAAATTTTAAACAATATTATCGTTTATCACAATACTTTTCGAGACAAATAATCGCCCAGCAAAATTTGTTATCGTGACAGGCCTATGCCCAGTGCAGGTAAGATAGTGACTGCTCATTAACACGTCACCAAATCTCTGACGTTTCTTAGAACTCTCTTCCACCACTGGGACTGCAATGAACTTCAGTGTTGATCCAATTTTATTCCAGCACATGTTTAAATTCGGGGTGCACCAATAGCAGTTTTCTGGCCGTTTATCGATCTCAAAAAAGTCTGATCTGCCGATTCCAATTTTGGCCAATAGTACACTTTGGGTTTACGTGTGTAAACTTCTTTGAAAGCTGGCTGTGGGTTTTTCTGTCTGCTGAGACACCGGTGGATGACAGGTCAGCAGGAAGGACTGCAGTACAACAAGAGCTAGCTTTACTCAACAGCCTGTCTGCTCCTCCTCCATATGCTACAGTCTCCCTCACACACAACGCATACACACACACACACACATAGACGGACAAAGGCACTCCCTCAAACACTCAGTGCAAGAAGACGAGGGCGTTGCCTGCAGTGCATGATGGGTTTGATGTCTGCTCTGTGACCTGTGTGCAGTGATGTCACCTCATGGTGTTGGGGGGGCTTTGTGTCTGGGTGTAAAAGTGTGAAGCAGGCATGGTGCAGGGGGCTGTGGGTGCAGTTTGCATCTGCCCAAGAGTGAATGAGACTGAGGGTATTATCTATACCAGGCTACTGAGCTGCAAGATGCTCTGCAGTGCTGTGCAGGCAGTGCAGACACACTGAAGCTTCTGAGGAGAAAAAGGAAATACATACTGTAAATATAAGTTCTTATAGAATGAAAGACAGCATCATATTTTACTTCATTAGCCAGCTTTACCTTTTTTTTTTTATTTTAACAGGACATCACTAATGTTCAGAGGATCTGCAAGCATATTTGCCATTATTCTTTTAAATGAGTTTGACTGCAGTTTGACATTCTGCTGTATATTTAAAACGCTCAAGACTAACTGGTTCCAGCAGGGCTGCAAATGTTTGCTGATCTGGTTGTTTATTTGTGTGTAAACTTAAAAAAAAAAAAGACTCATTTAGGCTAAGAAACAGCAGTGAAGTCTCACATTTATTGGGTTGAATAAAAGTTTTATGTATTTTCTTAACTCTAATCATCAGCTAACAAAGTAATGGCCTACCAATTAATTGACTGAAATGCAGCGACTGTTCATAGTTTGTGTTTCTTTGTAGTAAAATGTCTTGTGAACCACGTTTTTATGCAAGCTACTGAATTCTAACTTTGTCCACTCATTGAACTTTCGTCTCCGTGTAATTTTTTTGTTTTTGACCACTCTCCATTTTTTTTTTCTGTACGGTAGATCTCACTTTACAAAGGTTACACAAGCACATCAGATCAAGTCATCACAATTCTCTGTGATTAAAGGCAGGAGAGAGTGAGCAAAATAGAAGCTGTGTAAAAATATGAACTCAAATGAGCTCTTGAAGCTTTATCCACCGCTCTATTTCCTGTCCACACTTGAGAAGGTCCATATGTGCAATCAGCTTCTGCGTGGAGTTTTTGTTTCTCCCATGGAGCTCAGTACTTACATTTCACTTGAGCAGCCCATCACACCTTTCACTTCATTTTATCAGAGTTGTTTATGCTCGCCTCTTGTTTCCTTTTTCACAGAAAGCATCTTTTTTTATTCATTATGTTTATGTTCGCATTAAACATGTACAGTGTAAGTGTGTCATGTTGTAACTTACAAAGTTTCTTCTTTCTGTTATAAAACATAGCAATATATAAAGCTTTTCTGTATGGTTACAGTCACTAGGTAATATTAAACTGTCTCTAGTGACATTTAACACTTCAACCTTTTAGAATTAAAAAAAGAGCTTTTGCTAAATGCGGTTCTACTTTATTGGAAAACTGATTCAAGGACTTGCGAACAAAACATCTGATTCCTCAATGTAATACGTCTATTTTTGTAACATTTTGTGTTTTTTGTTATTCAGAATCGTGAGCTTCAGATCATGAGGAAGTTGGACCACTGCAACATCGTCCGTCTGCGCTACTTCTTCTATTCCAGTGGAGACAAGGTGAGCTACACAATTATCTGTGAGACATTGTAAAATTCACATACAAATATAATTTTGTAAATATTTACAACTCTTATCATATACTTATAATATGACTGTTTTATTAAAGGATCATGTATCAACAGCAAAGATGAAAAAAAGATAAATTTTGTCCAAGGTTTCTTTTATAGCCTCTGCATTTGCACATTTTTTATGGTATTGTTTGTTACAGCCTTTGTCGCTTTTAAACCCCTGGATCCAGAACCAGAGAAGATTGCATAGCTTCCATTAATTGTTCATGTGAGCTCCACACTGCAACACTGGTTAGTTGTACCTGTACCAGTATAGATGTTGACATAAGTAGAGCTGTATTTTATAATAACACAACTACTACAGTTCAAGATTAATAATCAGCTTATAATGTCAAAATCAGAGTCATTTCACAGGAACTGCTATGAATTGTTTGTTCGGAGTTGCTTTAAGATTGTTACAATCCACTTTAGTGTTGGCCCTGTTCGGACTTGCCACTGGATTTTCAGTCTAGTTAGAGTTGAACTCTATTTGAGGTTGTTCAATCTATCTGCAACGGATGATATATTAATTGTTTAGGACCTTTAAACAGAACTGCACTTGAAAAGATCTGGACCATTACTTTAACTGGTCATTTGGTTTTAGTGCACAAATTTATTTATGACAGATAACTTTAATATTTTTGATGTTCCTGTGACCAAAACTTTTTTTAAAAATTTTATGTTGTGTTGCTCTTTAAATTGTCTGTGCATGTCAGAAATCCCACTTTTTGTATTCTCAGCCATGGGACGTGTTTGTTAAATACAATAAATCAGAACAATGAAGCCACCTGCTTTTTCAGGCTTTTCATCCCTGACAACCAGTGGAAGTCTCTTGGAGACTGCACGGCTGTACTCTGTCATTCAGCTGGCTGACAGACAGGCCTGCGGAGGTCTGCTCGTCAAATATAGACACACATGGACTTGGCACTCATGCTGTCGGGACTATACAGGACGCCGCGGTCAGGAATGCCTCTCTGTTGCTCAACAGTTCAAGCCAAGGGAAGTTGAGTGGTGTGAGTTCGTGGTGTGGATAGGTGAAAGGAAAGCAGACTGAGTGATGGTTGGGGGACTTCATTTTCTAGGACTAAGAGGGTTTCTGCTATTAATAGATTTACTCGAGCCCTCCCGTTTAGGCTCCACCTCATTTCCTCCCCTCACTTCACGCCATGTGCCCAGTGACCTCTCAGAATTGTGGCCAGTTCTTGGTATACTGTCACAAACTGAGAGGTTTCAGAAATAACCCCACACACTGCCATCTTGGCTTGCGTCCCAACTTTTTGTCATTTTAAGAACTATTTTTTTATAATTTAAAATTACATTCAGATATTTCTCCCACTGGGTTGCCTTTCATTTTTCTCCCCCTCCATCGTATCACTTAGTTAATTATGGAGACTGGCACCATGTTGTTGGTATGGGGATTTACCACCCAGAGGGTCTGAGAGTGAAGGGAGGAAAGAAGGAAGGGGTGGTGTTGGTAAAATAGGCAAAAGGTAATGTTAGAATTTCACACAATTTGATGGATAGAATGAGTCCGTAATAAAAAAGACAATGATAAGAAATGAAAAGAGCTTCAGTGTGTGGGTGTTGTACGACTTCTGCAGTGACGATTCGTGCTGAATGCAGCTGTGAGGCAGGTATGGGCCGTCGCTGCTGCAGCTGTCATGTGCACAGGTAGTCTTATGCAATTACTGACATATGGAGGGCTTGAGGCACACAGTGTGCTTTTGCTTTTACCCTTTAACCTCTTGTATAATAGTGTGTCTAAAAAAGAAGGCCACTGTTCCAAGCAGCGTGGGCAGGTAAGCAAATAGTTGCTTGGCTTTTTCCCTTGTCAAAATATGAAGTTGTAGTGAGACGCTCAGCTGGTTCAGAGTTACCCACTATTGTAGGTGCCTCTCAATAGTTGCCTTTATTTACCCACAACAGGACACAGTTGCTTACAATCACAAAGCTTTATTCTCTTACAGACACTTGTGCAATATAACTTCATAATTTGCAGAAATGTTTAGCTATGGTTCATGAGATGATTGTATCAGCAGTAAAAGTACAGTTGAGTTTAATAAATTGACGATAATAAAAAATGTGAGACTTAACTTTATAGCAGTTTTCATTACTCATTGTTGACTTTTAAGATAGTTTAAATTCACTTTTTTTGGTCAACCTTTCAGCAGGAGTACTGATAATATTATTCTGTCATCAACTAAAGATACAATATAAAGTGCAAAAAAAATTAAAGGGACAGTTAAATTTTCTCTTGTTACAGAAAGGCTCCCACGCACTGAATACAAACCAGTGTGCATTAGCAAGAACTACCTGCAAACCAGTTATGTTGGGCTGTAGATAGCTGGAGAAGAAGACGTCTAGTGTTTTTCGTTTAGGGCTACCAACAACTCTGTTTGGTGTATTTTGTATTGCGTTGTTCTAGCACTGTGCAACGTTTTTCTTGCATTCGGTTACATTGGACATTTCATTCAATCATGCATGCCTTGGTTTTTACGACTAATCAAAGCTTGGACTTTTGAAACATGTTACTCCCATTTTATTGATCGTTGGTCTCCATAACTTTGTCTTCAGCCCTTAACAAATTATTTATTTATATGTATTTGTTTGTTTCGCCTCAACAAAGAGTTGGTTCTACTGTAGTATTGCTTTTCTTCTTCACTAGAGCTCGTACTTTAGAAATCAGAACAGAAAAACAAAGAATTGTGTTCATTAAGCACTGATTCCAAATGCGTAATAAAGCTTTAATGGAGACTCCACCTATAAAGAGTAACTGAAGGTGACTACATAAATTGCTACTTGCATAAATTGAAACACTGCTGATTGGGGGGTGCACCTGATTTTGTCCCCGATTTCCTTAATTTTGGGAGATTGGCTGATACTTACACGAGAAACTGATTTTACCGATTTTTTTGTAGTTTTAACAATTGTCTCAACTTCATTTATATTTCAGAGCACTACCTCATGGCCAGTTAAAACAAGTTTGTATTGTTTCTAGGATATTGTTCAAGGGTATGTTTTTCAATAAAATTAAATTGGAAAATTGAAGGTGCATTGTGACCTTATAACATCTGACAGTGTCGCTTATAAAACAAAATCGGTATCGGCAGGTCAGGCTGTTTAGAGAATGGTGATCGGCCAGAAAACTTCAATCGGTGCACCCTACTGCTGATCAATGGACAGAGATGGTCACACAGCTATTTTTTTTAATTCTTAAACCCTTTTTGTACATTGATTCAATTATGATTATCCTAGTGAAGCTTTCTGGAGGCCATGACGACTTTTTTATTTAATTCCTGGCTATGGAAAATGTATTTCAGACATGTACACAGATGTTAATGGAGAGGCGGTGGTTCAACATTGCTGCCTCGGGGTAATGATTAAAGTCTAGTGAGCTGGCAGAGCTGCCACAGAATTTGCCAACACACACTGAGTCAAGTTAATAGAAATACAAGACATACCATGCATTTGTTTTGAGACAGTCTTGGATTCAAAGTGCCATGTTGCAAGCAGTACATTAACCTGCGTTAAGATATGGACAAGGCCATTCAATTTACGTTTAGTCTTAATACTCATGTATGCTTGTTTTTTAATGGTTTGTTAGTATTGACTTTTCTATGTGTCAAGCTTGGGTGTACATGACAGGAAGCACAAGCATATATGCTAATATGAGCCACACTTGATGTGCAAATTGTGTATTACAGATCCCACCAAGCCTTTAGCACAACGTAGCGGGTGATTTTTGTTTATAGAGAGCTTAGCCAGTTGTTCAGGTGAATGAAAGGCATTTTTTTTCTCCCTCTTACAAAATTAGGGGCTTATTATTTAGCTGGGAGGGAACAAGAATCCAATCGGATCCATGCCTTGCTAACCCTCTGGGAACAAGCCAAGGAAGTGGCTTTGTAGTGAGGCAGGAAGTGAGTCATCGCTGTTGCTAGGCTAAATATAGCCTTGGTCGTGCTAGCAGGAGGTGGAAAAGTCTCCATATCTGTACCACAAGTGCTACCAATGTTTTTTTGTCAATGGAGGACTAATGACTGAAACTGTGTCAAGGAGAAAAAGTAAATCTAGTCAAAGATGTGTGGATCTCTGTCTACAGATTGTTTTAGAAGTTATTGTTTCCTCAGTCTTGTACCTTTATTTTAACGTAATCAGGCATTGATTAGTCTTAACATTTTCACTACCCATAAGTTTTTTCTAGTGGAGGTGTAGACCAAGATCACCAGTCATGTCTTGCAGTGCCTGTTAGATCCTTTGGTTCGTTGGAATCAGGGCTTATGGTTTCTGTGGATTGTTTTCCACAGATTCAATCAGATTGTAATCTGTGGCATATGGACTTCATTTCACGTTCTTTAAATCATTACCAAAAATGTTTTGCTCCCCTGCTGTTGGTGGATAGGATTGTGACAAGTGTCAAAGGAACATCCAAATGTCAGGATGCAGTTTTCTTATTTTTTTTGCAGAACATTGTGCAGTGTCCCTTCTTTACCTGTTAGTCATAATGTTTTGGCTACTTGTTGAACAGGGTCATCTGAGTGAGCACAGAAGATGACTTACTTCAAAGCAGGACACTGAGCTGACAGAAATGCTGCACACCAGTCTGGCTGGGGAGCTTTTCTTGGACATAGCTCACTGACTCACTGCACTCTGCAGACCTGCAGGGAACCAGGATGAATGTGGGTCAGGCTGATAATGCTGCTAACTGATGGAGGGTAGGAGAACAAAAGATATGGGCTCTCGGCTACAACGAGTAATAAGAAAAGCTAAAACTCCGTTTTGAAAATCTGTTTCATTACTGAAGAGATTGAAGAGAGAAGTTGTGCACGTTTGCATTTAGTGGTTGGGTCAGCAGTACTTCTCCTCGATGTTGACTGCAACACACATTACATCAAAGCAGAGATTATTTTAACTCTTTTTGTTATGGTGGGGGAAAACAGCAAAATAATGTGGTTAAACTTTTAACCTCTTAGTTGATAATTGAGATGCACAGAAAATAGTTGTGGTCATTTCAATCAGCCCCAAAAAACTAGATTTTATTTCCTAGCCTCTTTACACTGATGTCTTATGTGGGAACCTTGAATTAAAACCTTGGTCTGTTCAACAATGTTCAGTCAGGTCATCTGGATGGACGGTTTCTTTTTTTGCTGAGACATTTCGTATTTCATCCAAAGGACTTCCTCAATCCAAGAAGCCCCAGAGGAGAGGGTGGGCCCCAGAGGCCATCTTAGCACGAGCAAACTGGTTTTTTCCACTATGGAGTGTGCCGCTTATGGGAATCAGTTTAGTTTGATGGCTTCTCGGATTGAGGAAGTCCTTTTGGATGTAGGACGAAACGTGTCAGCAAAAAAAGAAACTGTCCAGATGACCTGACTGAACTTTGTTGGATTTTATACCTGGATTATTGAGCTTAGTCTGTTCAATTAACTTGATATTTTGTTTAAAACATTTTCCTTTTAGTGCTCTTTTCATTTTCAAAAGTTTTTTTAGGCTTCTCTCCCTCTCTACACTACCACTGTACCACAGTACCACTGTGTACTATATTATTCTTTATGAGGCTTCAAATTAAAATATTTCCAGACTGTTGCATTTTAGGCTGACGTGTAATTTGTGGTCTGGATATGTGGGTTCCACGCCATTGTCTGATAACTTGGCTAGAGCAAAGAGGCAGTCTTCGAATAAGTGAGTGGAGAAACCTCACGCACGGCATCTATTCAGGGTCAGTGTGCTCCGGGGTAGAACTCCGCCGGCCGTCACTGGCCCCGATCAACCAGGAAACAAGGAAGTTATGTCATTGTCTGTGGCCACGGCTGAGGCTGTTGTGACGCACAGCTGTGTGCCCCTGGGGGAGATACAATGGATTCCCATTTAGAATGTGAAAATCCGTTCCACCAGCTGAAAAATGGCTTCTTTCATTACGAATACAGGCATCGCATATTGGAGAGAAACCACAAACTAAAACAGTAGATTAACTTTAACAAGCAGCTGAGATTTTCTATGGTTTAATTTTATTGTTTTGAATTTTAATGTTTTCCTCTAATTTGTATGCATGTCTTAAATTTTAAACAGAGTTTTCTTGTTTTTGCTTCTCCCAACAGAAAGATGAAGTGTATCTGAATCTGGTTCTGGACTACGTTCCTGAGACAGTCTACAGAATGGCCAGACATTACAGCCGAGCCAAACAGACGCTGCCCATGATTTACGTCAAGGTGTGTATCTGTAAATGTAATCGCTATACCTGAAAGAGGTGCACTTTCCCCAATTAAGAAGTATTTTAGCCAAAGTATATATTTTTAGTTGAGTACAGCCATTTCAGCTATTTTAATTATTTCAAACACAAAATATAAGTTTCTTAATTTGGCCTATTACATGTTAGACAATTTACTAGACATATACCAAGCAGTGAATTACTTTAGTGTGTGTATTTCTGTCGAGTATGAATATTTTTTATTACTATTTCGACCTACAACCTGAATCTAAATTGACCTGACCAAGAGCTGTTATCAGTTTTTGACTGCACTAAAACAGCAACACAGTAGTCCCTCATTTATTGCGGGGGTTACGACGACCCCCCCTCGCAATAAATGAAAATCCGCAATGTTGTCACGTTATATTTATTTTAGTATTTATATATACTATTTTAAGACTTTATAAACCCTTCCCACACTCTTGCAATGTTCTAAACTCTTAAATCTACAGTGAGAAAAATAAGTATTTGAACATCCTGCGACTTTGCAAGTTCTCCCACGAAGAAATCATGGAGGGGTCTGAAATGTTCATCTTAGGAGCATGTCCACTGTGAGACTTAATCTAAAAAAAAAAAATCTGGAAATCACAATGTATGATTTTTTTAAAAATGATTTATTTGTGTGTTACTGCTGCAAATAAGTATTTGAACACCTGTGAAAATCAATGTTAATATTTGGTACAGTATCTTTGTTTGCAGTTACAGAGGTCAAAGGTTTCCTGTAGTGTTTCATCAGTCCTCCACACAGATCTTCTCTAGATCAGCCAGGTTTCTGGGCTGTCACTGAGAAACACAGAGTTTGAGCTCCCTCCAAAGATTTTCTATAGGGTTTAGGTCTGGAGACTGGCTAGGCCACTCCAGAACCTTGATATGCTTCTTACGGAGCCACTCCTTGGTTCTCCTGGCTGTGTGCTTTGGGTCATTGTCTTGTTGGAAGACCCAGCCACGACCCATTTTCAATGCTCCAACTGAGGGAAGGAGGTTGTTCCCCCAAATCTCACAATACATGGCCCCGGTCATCCTCTCCTTAATACAGTGCAGTCGTCCTGTCCCATGTACAGAAAAACACCCACAAAGCATGATGCTTCCACCCCCATGCTTCACAGTAGGGATGGTGTTTTTGGGATGGTACTCATCATTCTTCGTCCTCCAAACATGTCGAGTGGACTTAAGACCAAAAAGTTCTATTTTGGTCTCATCTGACCACAGAACTTTCTCCCATGACTCCTCTGGATCATCCAAATGGTCATGGGCAAACTTAAGACGGGCCTGGACGTGTGCTGATTTAAGTAGGGGAACCTTCCGTGCCATGCATAATTTTAAACTATGAAGTCTTAGTGTATTACCCACAGTAACCATGGAAACAGTGATGCCAGCTCTCTTCAGGTCATTGACCAGCTCCTCCCGTGTAGTTCTGGGCTGATTCCTCACCTTTCTTAGGATCATTGATACACCACGAGGTGAAATATTGCATGGAGCCCCAGTCCGAGGGAGATTGACAGTCATGTTTAGATTCTTCCATTTTCTAATAATTGCTCCAACAGTTGATCTTTTTTCACCAAGCTGCTTGGCAATTGACCCGTAGTCCTTTCCAGCCTTGTGGAGGTCTACAATTGTGTCTCTGGTGTCTTTGGACAGCTCTTTGGTCTTAGCCATGTTAGTAGTTGGAGTCTTACTGATTGTGTGGGGTGGACAGGTGTCTTTATGCAGGTAACGACCTCAAACAGGTGCTTCTAATTTAGAATAATAAGTGGAGGTGGACTTTTTAGAGGAGGACTAACAGGTCTTTGAGGACCAGAATTGTTGCTGATTGGCAGGTGTTCAAATACTTATTTGCAGCAGTAACACACAAATAAATTATTTAAAAAAAAAAAACACATTGTGATTTCTGGATTTATTTATTTTTTTTAGATTATGTCTCTCACAGTGGACATGCTCCTAAGATGACAATATCAGACCCCTCCATGATTTCTAAGCGGGAGAACTTACAAAGTCGCAGGGTGTTCAAATACTTATTTTCCTCACTGTACATCATTTTAACTACATACTGTATGCACTGTATATGTACCTACTCAATTTTACTTACCAGCTCAGCAGAACACCGTAACAGCTCTCGGTTCCGTTTGGTTCCGGTCCGACTCAGTTCCATTTTTGCAGACCTACTCTGCAGCGAAGAAGCCCACAATCAAACGTTCTAAACTCTTAAACCTACTAAGTTTAACAACATATGTAGCTGCTAAATTTTGCTCACTAGTTCTGCAGAACAGCAGCAGCTCTGTTCCGCTCAGACTTGGTTCCGTTTCTGCGGATCTATCCTGCCAGTTCTGGTCGGCTCTCGGGGTAGTGGCTGTGGGCTCCGGATGGAGCGCCAGATCTTTGGTGACACGCTTTCCCACTCGGGAGTCTTTGTGGGCCAGCTACCAGCTCTCAAGATTCACCGGTGGGTCTGGAGGTCTGGTTCTGCTGCTCTGGTTCTGCTCCAGTTCGGTGGGTTCCGTGCGGCTTCTCTGCATCTGCTGGGCTAAGACGTCACTGTAATAAGCACCAAACGTTTTCCATCGGAAAAACTTTCCCTCTAGAATTTCAGCAGAAGGAAATGGGGCTTCTGGGCGGGACCCTGTTGGCTTCTCGGAAATGTAGTCCTTATGAGCAGGGATACAGTGGAGGCTTATTGAGAGAAAACTACAAAATGGTGGCGCCTGTCCAAAGTATTTTATTTTTTCATTAACTTTCTACTGTACAGTATCCAGTACTGTTCCAATCACGTGAGTAATATTAAAGTCGACAATCATGTGTGTCCTGCACAATTTCTTTTTCTCGTGTTCAATCTTACTTTGAAAAACCGCGATAGAGCGAGTCAGCGTAAGTTGAACCGCAAAGTAGCGAGGGACTACTGTATGTAAAATGACTTCCTAAAACTAAATTTACTGTAATTACAGAAAAGGAATAAAAATGTTAATCCCTGTTGATCAGGGGGGTTGTTCTGCATTAATGATTCAAGATTTACTTTTCTGACTTTACCTTTAAAAAAATGTTTTGTTAAATGTTTGTGTCAATAAAATATTGCCTGTAACACAAATTTAAAAATGAATATAAAAAAATAAGAACGAATGTGAGTCCTATTTTTATTTTTGCTTCTTTTATTTGATTGCTGTGACAGCAGTTGCTTTGTTTTAAATTATGTTAAATTTATTAAATTATTATTGATATTGTTTATCTTATTTCTTTATACGTTGTATTGTTTATTAACATTTAGGAACTTTTGTGTGAAATCTTTTTATCTGTTGCTGCTGTTACACTTGAATTTCCCATCCGTTGGACAATAAAGGCTGTTTCTATTCTATTCTATTATAAAATACAGCCCACCGATTTAAAACAAATGACTTTTGCAAGAGTAGAATGACCTAAATTGAAATGAAAAGCTGAACAGCACAAATGTGTTCTGTTTTTAACTCACTGATTTGTTTGAAACATGCAAGTGTTGCAGTTTGCATAAGAAAACGTATCTGTTGGTGTTTGTGTCTGTCCTCGTGCACAGTTTTCCAAAACGTCTCGTCTGGGACTGAGTCAGAAGGCAGATGTTGCTGTTTCATTTATAACACTGCACAACCTGCGTAACAAGGGTCAAGATAACAAAAAAGTCTTCTAAACATGCTAAAAATGTCATTTAATTCTGACCAGGCTGAAACGGGTCGTTGACCGCATGTTTCCATAATAAACCTTTTCATGAGCATGTGCTTGCCTGTTTCATTGCAGTGACATGTCTTTGTGTGTCCCTGTGTAGTTGTACATGTACCAGCTGTTCAGGAGCCTGGCGTACATCCACTCGTTTGGGATCTGCCATCGGGACATCAAACCCCAGAATCTGCTGCTCGATCCAGAGACGGCAGTGCTGAAGCTCTGCGACTTTGGCAGGTGAGGAACCGTTGTGCACATGTTGTCACTTTGGTCAGACTGACATAGACTAATAGATGCAGTAGAAAAGTGGTTCCCAAAGTTGGACCTGGGAAACACCCGAGTTGGGATTGTATCTATAAACAGATAAAAGCAGTTAGACAGTGTTGTGGTCGCTGAGAGAAGACGTGTGGTCAACTTCAAACATTCAACACTTTTCTTAGAGTTGGAACCTGCAGGGACATTTTTTAAATAACTTATTTTCCTGATGACGACACAACCTCATTGTGTGCCATTGGTTCAATGGCACTAAATCTGTAAATCTGTCACCATCCAAATATTGTTAATCAGGAACCTCAACTGGTCATGGCTCATTTGTTTAAGACAATATCTTAACCTGGCAGTGAACAATGCCATTAAAAACGAAAAAGCAAATAATGGATGAACAGCCACTCAGTTGAAAAAAAAAAATATATATATATATATATATATATATATATTAGGCATTGTTTGCTAAAACTGAGTGATAAAGTGGATTTCACAGAGTGTAGCTATTAAATTGTATTCAGATTTTGATTTGAATTGTATATTTATTTACAGGTCAAAACTGTTGAAAGGAAAAATCAGCTAGTTAAAATTAAGCTAACAATAAAAGTTTTTAAAAAGCAAATATTAATGGACATCTGTCACTGTTGGTTAAGATATGTTCAATCACCCAAACCTGAAAAGTTTGAGAACCACTGTTGTAACAAGTAGAAGATTGTATTCACAGCTTAGTAATTTTAGCATGTTCACTTGAAACACAAAAACTAATATCTTAATAAGAGCCATGATCAATCCGTCAGCATCTGCAAGATTATTATTATTATTTTTATTAATTTTGTTTTGATTTTTTGCCACTGTAACTACACAAAGTCTACAAGTTTCTGAGTTACTGTGCCAATGAATAAGAATAGAAACCCTAGTTAAATTTTTATGTTGGAAATAAACATTTTTTTATTTGCATACAGCCTTATGTTATTTGTATATCATGTATGAAAATACAGAGCAGGAGGTTTAAATAATCACAGAGCCAGCTGGGCATTTGTCTGGGAAGTACGAATGGTGTGAGACGCTCTAAACTACAAAGCTGTAGTTGCTCAGCTGAGTCTGCAGCGCTGGCTTGTTGTGTTCAAACACACCGATCTGAGACGGTACTGTTGGGTCGGTGTGAATTGCCATAAAATAATGACAACCGCTATTAAAGGAGGTGTTTAGTTAAGTCAATGAGGCACAATCCGTCTGCAGTAAAAGGCCTTTACATTGAAAATGAGCTTTCTTCCAAAAAACATGTACGGGTAGTTTATTTCTTCCCAAGAGTTTGTGCCAAAGGCTGAGACTTTTAAGTTATTCCAAAGTCACATAAAGATAATAAAACTTGATAAAGCACATCAGAAAAGGGACATTTTATCTTTTGATTTTACAATATAACAAATCGTAAAACTAATCTGTTCATATTTAGTTATTTTTCACTTTCCTTTATTGGCAACAACGTTCAAGTTCTTTATTGTCATTCGCATCACATGTGGTACATGAGGTGGAACAAAATTGTGTACTCAGTCCCAGTTACACCCAAAAATAGCAAAAATATAAAGTATAAAAATAAACAGTAAATAAGGATCTAAGATATACACTTAAGATATGCTAAACCAACGCTAAACGATTGAAGAACATTAATAGTGTTAAACAATATGTTGTATTAAACAGCAGCCTGAACATGAGTCTGTTTGTGAGCAGATGGGTATGAATGAATACAGCAGCATGAGATAATCAGCATCATGGCTGATCCAGATACACAAGAAAGTGTCCTATTAGAAGGACTGAATTATTATTTTTGTGTTTTGCTAACTGGATTCAGAATATGTTTGTACAAACTAGTTTTAGTTACAACCTTGAAGATGGAGCCCGTTCCTCTTCATTAAATCACACATTTTACTTTAAGTTCCGTAGGTTTGTTATTAATTTGATTATTTTGAAGTAAACAGACTGATGGTGGTTGATGTCTGTGTGCAGTGCCAAGCAGCTGGTCCGTGGGGAGCCTAACGTGTCCTACATCTGCTCTCGCTACTATCGGGCTCCTGAGCTCATCTTTGGGGCCACTGACTACACCTCCAGCATAGGTAGGCCACCCACAGGTGTCACGGTCAAGACTCCCCTGTATGTGAATGAAACCCGTGCTGACAAAAGAAACGGAGCATTAGATGTTTTGCGTCATTGTTGCAGGATGGCACGACTGGTGTGTGTGTTCAGTTTCTGGCGTCTAACTTGTTTTTCCTCTTGGTGACGTGCCTCCCTCTGCAGATGTGTGGTCAGCTGGCTGCGTACTCGCAGAGCTGTTGCTAGGACAACCAATCTTCCCTGGCGACAGTGGTGTGGATCAGTTGGTTGAAATTATTAAGGTAATTACCAGACTTGACTTGCTCAGCCTGTTTATTTACTGTATATTTCCAAGTGTAAGAAAATAACGAGGCTGATGATTCTACTTGTTCTCTCAGGTTCTCGGTACTCCGACCCGAGAGCAAATCCGTGAGATGAACCCCAACTACACTGAGTTCAAATTCCCCCAGATTAAGGCACATCCCTGGACTAAGGTGAGTCAACAGGTACAAGATCAATTTTACTTTAAAATTCAACTACTGATTTGTCCCCTTCCTGTTTTCCCATCATGCTGTCCAGCCTAATCATCTCCCTCCAGCAGAGCTGCATGTAAATGTATTAGCTTCACTTCTGCTCTGCTCTTCCCTGGCTCTGTGAACTATGAGTTTTGTCAACACTTTCTTTAGTGATCTTAATTCATCTAATGCATGCTACCCTGGACATCTTTGTCCTCCATGTAATATCACTGCTTTTAAATCATCTTGCTGTCTTTATTTAAACGTAAACCCTACATGTGCAGAATTTTGACACCACTCGTCAAAAAGTCACCTGGCTTCTCATTTCTTTACACTTTTTGTCCAAACAGTTATTCTTGTGATCTTTTAGGTTGGTCTTGATAAATAGTTCTTCAGGCTTTCTGAAGATCTTTTAAAGTTTTTCGTAGTATTTTAGATGCCTTTTTAAAAACTTGTTTTCAGTCCACTCGGTTTATTTAAAAAAAAAAAAGGCCTATCGTTCCGTGAAGGAGTGGATATCGCCCACCGCCTTTGCTGCCAGAGTTTTAAGTTATGATCATATTGTTACAGGAAGGAACAAAAAGTTAGTTTTATAAATAGCTTTATTCTCATGTAACAAAGTTAAGTCAGGTCCTCTGGACGGATTAAAAGAAAAAAAACTTATTGAAAAATTTTGTCTTTAATCCAAAAGACTTCATCAGTCTTCGTCAGGCTTTATTATCAGTTTTATGTAAATCTTATGTGACATCTTGCAATATGTGCTTGCTCTCAGAGTATGCATTGAGGACGACCCTCAGCTACTACCAGACTAAATCTCTGCTCAGTATCTGTAAAACTGATATTGATGGACATCTAAAGTTTACTTTCTGAGATTTTCTTAAACTTGTCCTAAGTTGACTCCAGTAAATAATGGCAAAGTTTTAAAAGCAAGTATTAGTATATATACACTCTGTCCACTGCACTTTTTCTGTATTGTTAGCAAAATATCTTATGACCCACATGGGCAAAAACATGATCACCTTTTCTCTTTTGGTGACAGGTGGTGTATAACACCGTCTGTTCATATACAACATAGCAAAGATCCACTTGCTCCTTCCTAATTCTGTAATTAAAAGACCATCACAAAAACATTTTTAAGAATAACATTTGGCAGATATAAGAGTATTTTTGCACCAATTCCTGATACATTTACAAAAAAAATATGAGTCGATGATCAACTGAAGTATGATCATTTTTCGGCCCTGTATCGTGTTTTTCTTTTCTTTTGGTTTTCCAGGTACTATTCAGGTAAAGGTAGTTTTATAGACTTGACTCATCTTTTTTTTGTCCTCCATTTGGTCTCTTTCGTACTCACTGCTGAGATATGCAAAATTAAAGAGAAATAAAATGGTGCAAAAGTGCAGCATTAAAACTGTTGATGCAAAACGCAAATTTTATGTTTGGAAAACCTCTTATTTTTGGTTTGGAAATAAATTAGGTCTGTGTCAAAGTCCACACGTTTTTTAAAAAAAAGCATACATTTACAATATAGTTTATTGTGCAGAAACACAGTTTTAATTTTAAGAACAGTTAAGAACTGATTGTTTTGCACATCTCTTAATTGGCTTATCTAACAAAGGAAAATAGGGGAAAAGATGCTTTTAAAAATGGTTAGATTGTATGTACTGGACTGAAAATGAGTGGGGAAAAAGAAAAAGTTTGAAAAACCTTCTTAAATCCTGAGCTTTAAATCCTGTTTTTAAGCAGATGATAAAGAGATGAGGTTGAAGACTTTTTCACAGTGGTGTCATGTTAATGTCAAAAAGCTCCTGCCACAAGAAGGTTGAATATTTCACGTCTGACTGGTTGAACAGCAAAATTACTTGATTGTGAAAACATTTTTTATTCAACTAATTGAAATTGGGTTGGTTCATGGAAGATTTTGACCTGGTCATTTATAATTATTTAATTTTTTATAATTATATTTATATTTAAGTAATATTGAAAGCATGTTTGTGTTGAGGAGCTCTTTGACAAAAATGATTTGTGTGTGTTTGTTGTGTGTCCTCTTAGTAACAGCATAGTCTATTTTCCTTGAAAAGGTATTCTAATACTTATATTGACATGAAAATCTGCATCATGTTACATGTTTTAAAGAAAAAAGAAACCGCTTTATTTAAAATAAAATCATCCGACCAGCAGGTAGTGTCACCACTGCCTGTTTTGTCATGCTGTGGCTGCTCTACGTAGCTGCACTTAGTTCACTGCGGCCAACAACCCCGATTCTGAAAAAAATAATGTTGTGTAAAGTTCAAATAAAAACGGAATACAGTCATTTGCAAATCTCATAAATTCACATTTGATTTACAACTCAGTTCTGTTTATATAGCACCAAGTCGCAACAGAAGTTGTCTCAGGGCCATTTACAGGAACATTCACAGACATACAAAAACCAATTGGTAAAAGTTCTCTATCTAAGGAAGCGACTTGTTGAATCTTCAACTCGTCCCAGTCTCCCATCCTGAGCAAGCACAGTGGCAACAGTGGAAAGGAAAAACTCCCTTTTAACAGGAAGAAACCTCCAGCAGAACCAGGCTCAGGACAAGCGGCCATCTGCTTCAACCTGCTGGGTTTGAGAGGAACAGAAAGAAGAGGCAAACAAACAGAATGACAGGTCCAGGTGTACCTGAAAGTAGGGCTGGGCGATATGGCCTAAAATCAATATCACAATATATTGAGCAGTTCATCTCGATAACGATAAATGGACGATAACTGCAACCCCCCTCCCCCACAACTGAACACATTTAGAAGAATAAAATAACTTTCCTGTAAACACAAAGTATTAAAAACACAATCTCTTATAAATGAAATGGTCACATTTGAGTTGTCAAGTATTCCCTTGTAAATAAAACTAAATAATAAAAGAATAAATTTCACATTTGCCATTTGGAAAAGTAAACAATGAGTTGTGCAAATGTAATGTCATGTGCAAAGGCATAGTTTACTCTTGGCTTTTTTTTGTTCAGTATCGTCTTTGCTGAACGCAAAATGTTGCCAGATGACTGGTGACACATTTTTTTGTAAATTAGCTGCTCCTCTTCCTCCTGGACCAGCTCTGCCGCTGCTGCTGCCGCTTCAACATTTGAAATTTCCTCCATTTTCTGAACCGCACCGTCTCTTTCATTCTTGTTACAGACTGGATAGGGTGGAGTCACGTGACTGCAGACTGCACGTAGCGCAGCATCTTAAAGGGACATGAGCATAGCTTACCTATACACAGCCAAAAGACAAAACGACTTTTATTTTAATTTTTTTGAAAACACCGAAAATACCGACATGGGCAAAATGAAGTCGATCGTTGTTATAAATTTCGGTGTCGGTTAATTTTCGGTATATTGCCCAGCCCTACTTGAAAGACAAAAACACATGTCAAGGATAGAAATAACTACAAATACAAAACGGGTTGAGTAGAGCAAGTAAAGACAGCAGCACAGTGAAGAAATGTGGTCAGTTTGTCAAGTTTGTTTTTTTTCCCCCCATTTGCATCACGTGGTACATGAGGTGGAACGAAATTGTGTACTCAAGATCATGCTGTGATGATTGATGCAGTATGTGGTTTAGCATGACCTCCCCTGAAAAACACATCTGCTAAATGGGAACGTGTTCTATAAACTTTTCTGCATTGCCTTTCCAGATCTGTAAGCTTCCCATGCCATGGGAGGCTAATGCACCCCCATACCACCAGAGAGGCAGGTTTTTATGAATTGTGCAGTAATACCAGGCCAGATGGTTCCTGTCCTCTTCTGTAAGGAGTCCTTGGTTCCCTAAATGTATTTTGTTCAGATTTTAATTTGCCTTACCACAGAACATTTCTCCACTCTGCTCAGTCTGTTTGAAATGAGCTTTGGCCCAGAAAACACGACAGCGTTCCTGGTCAGTGTCCACACATGACTTCTTCTTCTGAGGCTAAGCAACGATGTCCCGAACAGAATCAGATCTGTATTTAATGCTTCCTGAGAGTCCAAACACTTTCAGCCTGGCCCTCTGTGCACAGAAACGTCTCCAGATTCTTGTAATATCTTTGATATTATAAACAGAAGGTGATCAGATATTCAAAGTCTTGTTGAAGAACTAATTTCTAAAAATATTCCACTATTTTTAAACAGTTTTTGACAGACAGGTGAACCTCGGCCCTTTTTAACTTCTGAAAGATTCAGCCTCTCTAAAATGCTTTTGTTTATACCCAGTCCTCTCACTGATCTGTTAGCCATTCACCTAATTAGTTGCAAAATGCTGGTCCAGCTGTTTCTCCTTAGTGTTATTAACTTTTAAAGTCTTCTGGAGTATTTTGTGATGTGTTGCAGCCATAAAATTTAAAATTGCCCCTTTTTTTTAAATAAAAGCACTAAACATTTGGTACGTTTGTGTTCCATTATGAATAAAATTTGATTTAATGAGATTTACAAATGATTGAATTATGTATTTATGTTTTCCATAATAACTGACTTTTTCAGATTTGGGGTTCTATATTAAATTTATATATATGAATAGGTGTCTTTAAACATCACTGGAGTAAAGATCTAGAACAAATGTGTGTTAAACGTTCAAAATATTTTTAGTGCTTGTTGATTTTTGTCTCTAATTGGCGCTCAGGTCTTCCGGCCTCGTACGCCTCCCGAGGCCATCGCCCTGTGCTCCCGCCTGCTGGAGTACACGCCCACAGCGCGCCTCACCCCTCTAGAGGCCTGCGCACACTCATTCTTCGACGAGCTGCGTGACCCCAACGTCAAACTGCCCAACGGGAGAGAAAAACCCTCGCTTTTTAACTTCACCACCCAAGGTAGGCACCACGATGACCACATGATGCTATTTTTGTAAAAACTTCCTGTGAAGCTCATTGAATATGCATCAGGATGTTTCCTGTGAAGCTGTTGCAGCATAATCACTGGGATTACAACATCAACGTACAGCCTTAATTATTTTTACATTACTTTGTCGTATCCTTATGCCTCATCAAAGTATGACCGGCTGATTGAATTACCTCCACTCTGTCTGTAATGTTTTATAGACAGAGTGAAAACAATACAATAAAAAACAATAAAAAACAAAACAATACAAAGATGGAGTATTTTCTGTCACTTGTGCTGTAATCAGCCAACGTTCAGTAGTCTTAGTCCATCAAATCTTGACTTTGTGAAGTTGGGTCGGACTTTTAACGCAAATCATTTTTCAAGATGCCACTAAGTTTTGATTTTTGTACAGCAACGCAAATGTGACTTTTGTTGCTAACATGAACTAGCATTACTATCCCAATGCATACTCAATAATCCAGGTAGGAAAATCCAACAAAGTTAATCCAAAAAAGTTAAATCTGGTCCTCTGGACATTAAAAAAAACAAACAAAGCAAAACAACAAAGAAATCGGCTGCAGCCTTCCATCCCTCCACGACCTGTACGTCTCCAGGACTGTGAGGCGAGCAGGTCGGATCACAGATGACCCTGCTCACCCTGCACACGGACTGTTTGAACCACTCCCCTCAGGCAGGAGGCTTCGGTCCATTCGGACCAGAACCTTCCGCCATAAGAACAGTTTCTTCCCCTCTGCTGTTGGACTCCTGAACACTCATAATGCTACCTCATAATGTCTGCTTTGGTCACATTACATCTGTATTATAACTGAATACTCCATCTGTACTGTTCTCTAAGCTTTTTTATTGTTTTCTATTGTATGGGTGTACATATGGTTATGTTATGGTTTTAATTTTACGTTATTTGTGGGTGTACACAGGCTTATGTAATGTTCTCATTTTTACTTAATTTTTACTTTATTTTTACTTTATTTTACTTTACTACTATTCGCACCTTATGTCGAAGCAAATTCCTAGTTTGTGAACCTCGTTCATTGACATGGCAATAATAAACTGATTCTGATTCTGATTCTGATTCTGAAATGTAGAAACGTTTCGTCTCTCATCCGAGAGACTTCCTCAGTCTGAGGTGCTGTATTCAGCTCAGTCTCTTAAATAGCACCTTCTCAGAGTGGATCAACCAGTTTGCTGCTGACAACCAAAACCAGCTGATCATATGCTCAAGAAGGATCATCAGCCTAACAATGGATCATTAGCACACTGATGGCTGTTTACTGTTCACAGAGGGCTGAGTGATACTAGCAATCACAGCATTGTAAGAGGGGGACAGTTGAACCCGGAGGCCTCCACCCCTGTTTAATGATGGACGATTTCTTTTCACAAAGATGGCCTCCTTTACTCCTCTCTCAAACCATCGTTCCTCTCTGTCCAGGATGTGAACATCTTCATCCCTGAGTGACCGCTGGCCTGGAGATGAGTGTAGACCGCAGAGTCCTGGCCTGATGATGTTGCTCTTCTGTGAGCACAGTTCCCAGTTTTATCATCGCCTTCTTACAATGCTGTTATTGCTAGTAGCACTCAGCCATCTGTGAATAGCAAGCGGCCATCAGAGCACTAACGATCGGTCATTAGGCTCATGGTCCTCCTTTAGCATGTGATCCATTATGATACTGAGCTTGCTGCAGCTCCTCAGACTGACAGTCTTTTGAATTAAAGACAAAATGTTTCAACAAGTTTTTTATTTTTTATATTTTTGAATCTGTCCAAAGGACCTGACTTAACTTTGTTGGACTTTCATTACTGTTTTCCTGCAAAAACTCTCTTCAGAGATTTTGGAGCAGGACTTTGTATCCGTAGTTTGGTCAAACACTTGCAGTAACAGTCTGTGACCAAAAAAAACACGTTTTTTCTTATTACCAAGGACAGTTTCCTCTTGGGTTACATTATAGCTACTTCCCAGTTCCCAGATTTTATGTTCCCACATCACACTAAAGTAGTGCTAAAACATTTTGACCCTACTGATCTGTTTTCACACACATACTGTATGTTGCAGTCCTAAGGTTTTCCAAAGACGCTCCATGAACTTAGCATGTCAGACTGTAAATGTTTCCAATATTCACTCCAGACGTTCCTGGGACATTTTCTTTCAACATCCTTGTAAAATGTACAAAAGATTAGTGCGTGAGATTCTTCTAGTCATCTGTAGTATTTTAAATGAGAGTTTGGCCAAAAAACAATAATTCAATATTTTAAAGTGTTTTTAAATTCTCATTTAATCACTTTAATTATTCAACACCGTTATGTAATCCAGTGGTAAAGTGAGTCAGACATTAAGCCAGACTCTTCCCTCACTGCAATACAAATCCAACAAACTGCACATCTGTTCTCTCACATACCACAACAGAAGAAGTCCAGCTGCAGAAGATGCAGTTTAACACATGCAAGTGTCCCCTGACCAGTCATCCCATTACATTCAAGAACCATTTGATTAAGAAGAGAGCAGTTAATCACAATCAAAGACGCAAAACCAATTAAATCTTGTCAAGTAAATCATGTTGCACTGAGACTAGGTCTTAAACAGACTTCTCGAGTAATCTACGCATCGACTCCTAGAACATCTATCAAGGTTTTTTTAATGTCACGTCGAGTATTCATGGTGATGTCGTTACGTCGCCGTTACGTCATTGCGTCATGTGATCCGCACCGGGCGCGGGTTACAAAATGGATTCCTCCCAGTAGATGGACTGAGCGGAGCAGGCCCAGTCTTGGCAAACATGTAGAAATGCATCAATAGTCTGGAAATATTTCACTAAATATGAATCTTCTGGTTCAACTACCGTAAGGAAACAGAAAATGAATCAACTTCCTGACTGTTTGGAGCTTGTGAGAACCGGTGTTACACCATATTTGGAGACCAACGTATATTGTGACCGTAGGGGGCGGTGTTGCATGCACTGTTGCAGGTCACAGAGTATGGTGTAACACCGGGTCCAATGACTGAACCAGAACCATCTTCCTCTGACCTTGTTTCACAAACAAAAAGCAAAAAATATTAATCTCTAAACCTATAAAACACCTATAAACCTATTAATCTCCAAAACTAAACCTAATGCGCACCACAGCTGGCGGTGGTGCGGGGTTGTCGTCCGCCCCACAGTTTTTATTTTCGTTTTTGACGTGCTGCATGTTTCTTCACTTTTGCAGCTTAATAATAAAAACTAATAGTTTAGTTTTTCCTGTGACTTATTTGCTGTATGATAAATGGTAGGAGCATAATATTACTCCCAATGTTTTGTTGGTCTTTTTTTTGTTGTAAATAATGACCTTTTTTGCGGTTTTATTTATTTATTTTTGCATCTTTAGATCCTATGATGTCATCAAGTACTCGAGTTCTACTTGAGTTTTATTATGTTAATGTCGAGTTTAAAAATTATGTAGTCATTCAACCCTTAACTGAGACCACAGTCATTATAGGTTACTGAGGTTTAAAATAAATGTATTATATTGAGCTTAATTAAAAAATAACATTAATGAAAAACTGTGTTAAAGCACAGTAGATGATATCCTGATGCATGATCATCACAGCATCATCACAGTAGATGATGCATTTAAAGAAGCTGGATGAAGCTAAACTTCTGGTGAATTAGATGTAAATTGCAACAAAAAAAAAATAGTTGTTAAAGTTTATACAGTACTTGATATTTGTGATGTATGTATTTTTGGTATCGCACAAGAGAAAACTATATCTCAAATATACTGAATATATCATCCAGCCCTAACTTAAAGAATTGTTCTTTTAATGTAAAATTATGCCCTATAGCTATTTTAAATGCCTTTTATTGCAATACATTCTATACCATTGTTACTGCAGTCGACATCTGTTTTTATATGTTTCTTTTGAAAGCAAATCATTTCTTTCTCCAGGGTTTAGAGTTGCTTTGCAACAACATGACCTTATAACTTATGTTTATAATCTTTCAGAGCTATCTAGTAATCCCTCTTTGGCCTCCATACTCATCCCAGCCCACGCCCGCAACCAGGCTGCCGCCTCTACACCAACCAACCCATCCGCCACTACAGGTAACTGCAAAGTCTTCTAAAAAAGAGTAGAACCTCCACAGTTACCATCCCATAGTTATTTATAGTGTATTTCATAACTTGGGTAGGCAGCACGGTGGCGCAACTGGTAGAGCTGCTGCCTCTCAGCGAACAGGTCCCTGGTTCAAACCCCGGTCCAGGGGCCTTCTGGGTGGAGTTTGCATGTTCTCTCCGTGCATGCGTGGGTTTTCTCCGGGTACTCCGGTTTCCTCCCACAGACCAAAAACATGCATGTTAGGCTGATTGGTAACTCTAAGTTGTCCCTAGGTGTGAGTGAGAGAGCGAATGGTTGTTTGTCTCGTTTGTCTCTATGTGTCCCTGTGATGGACTTGCGACCCGTCCAGGGTGTACCCCGCCCCTCGCACAGTGATTGCTGGACATGGGCACCAGCGACCCCCGTGACCCAAAATGGAATAAACGGGTAAAGAAAATGGATGGATGGATAACTTGGGTGGAGAAAAATAATTATTTTTAGTTCCAAGTTGATTTTTAAGGTGAAACTATACAGATGTTAACTAAAAGCTCTATGAACTCTTTATTATAAGTTGTTTGCTTTGTCCACACAGTTGATTATGATCCGGTCTCACACATTTATGCTTTATTTATTTAATGGCAACTAAAAACTAATTTTCTTATCACAAAAATTTTTTTATAGTTTGTTTATTTAAAACTACCGTAGTTTTCGCTGTATAAGTCACAACCGTTTTGCATAAATTAGCATGCCCTGCGACTTACACAACGAAGCAACTTATTTTCGTTTTTTTTCCCCCATATTTATATTTATAACCCAATTTTTTACTGAGAGCTGACTATTTCATTCATTTTGACATGGAACATATTGAAAACTACCATTTTCGGCCACTAGAGTGCGCCTGAGTTTTATGGCAAGCCAAATGTCTCATTAATAAGTAAAAGTGGCTATTAATGAGACACTTGGCTTGCCATACCAAGCCACCTTCGTCTCGCTCTGGAACTCCTGGAGCAAACGTCAAATCAGCTGCATTTCACTGCGCCGCCCAGGTGAAATGCAGCTGATTTGACCTTTAAAGTGCATTTATTAAAGAAAAGTTCAACTGAGACACACCTTTGCTATAAGTTCAAGCAAACAAATTGTTTTTAAGTGTTAATCTTGTTAAATTCTTGTTAAAGTCCTCCCGTGCACACTCCCGCAGCCGCCATTTGTCAGCCAATCAATTTTTGGCACAACACCAGCCCACATTTCCAGTTGGTCAGCAGTGACGCATAATAGATGCAACTTTGTACGGCAAAGCGACATATTTATGTTTATTCCCCACTTTATTAGACATAACTGGACTGATGCGACTTATACGGCGGTGCGACGTGTACGGGGCAATTACAGTAACGCTGATGTTTTGTTTTCTGTTCACAGATGGCAGCAGCACAGAGCGAGGTCCCATCACCACCACCGCCTCTGCCTCGGCCTCTAACTCCACCTCCTGAGCCTGCAGAGCACCCTGCCCCGCCCCGGTCTCAGCCCCGGCCCACAGCCTCTCCATTGCCCTGGCCAGGGTGGGGGAGCGCCGATCAGCTCTGCTCCTGCCCCGCTCTCCTCCCTGGCAGCGGCGCAGCGATGCTGAGGCAGCCCGGGTTCAACAGCTAAACAACAGCCCCCTCCTAGAAACGACCACAAACACAAGCATCTCTGACTTCCGTCGCCGACCCCTCGGCCGGCCTCCTCGTCCAGCTGTTCGAGCTCCTCTCCATCCTCCGTCAATAACACCTCGAAGCGAAGCGCAGGGCTGGAGTGTTGCTGACTGTACTATTGATGAAAGTAGACTACATGTAAACACGTTGTTTGTAAGAGGACGAGCTAGAAAAGTCCTTCGCTGTCCCCCTCATCATCGTACCATTTCTCTGCATCCCTAAGCCCCCTCCCCTCCTCATTTGGCTCCTTCTGTAGTGCATGACCCGAGTACGGTAGGATCGATTCATTGGGGGGGTGTCGCACCTTCACAAGTCCACTTCCGCAGACAAGGCATGAGGCTCCCGCACGCATAAACACACACACTCGGACACGCGCACATCCTCTCACACACACCGAGGCATGATGATGTATGCAGAAAGCATCACTTTGTGACAGGGCGTGTGGTGTGGGTTATATTTGAACAGTTTATTTTCTTGTCCCGGGGTTGTTTTAGCGGCAGGCGAGCTGTTTTACTCCAACAGTTTTATTTTATTTTGTACTCCTGGGCAGATGTTTGTTTTTGGGTGTGCGATGGATGTGACGTGTATCTGGTCCCGTGTGCTTGTATAATATATACATACAGTACAAACACGCGTACCTACACATTTTATATATTACTTTTCTTTCTGTATAAAAAGTATATATAGATATATGTATATTATTCTACAGTGGTTCAGAAATCATTTAAGGTGAGCTCATATCCTGTAGAGCTGTGGCAATATTTGCTGCTGCCTAAAGATAACAGATTTCGATAAGCTTGTGTTTATTTTTGTTGTTCTTGCTGGAGTGTTGATAGATTCCAGCAGCCACTTCCTCCTCCTGCGTAGATGGATTTAGAGTGCCGCTCTATTCCTTTTTGCCTTGGACTCTGTGTATTATTGCGTCTGTGACGGTGCAGCGTCTCAACAAACTCCTGTTTGCCTCCTCATGAAGACTTTCAATGATCACGCTTTGTTTTATTTTTCTTGTTCTGGCTTCTTAAGAAGCCCCAGCGGTGGCGGTCTCTGATGCACCCCAGGCTGTTCTTGTGGTGCGACTGCCGACTGAAAGTGTTTGCCGCGCGTTACTCTCTCTTCCACCTGCAGCACGTAGATCCGCTCGGTACAGGCTGACAATTACAGAAAACACTACAGTTTAAAAAGAAGAAGAAGAAAAAAGAAACTGAATTTGTAAATACAGTATAAATGCTCTTCACCAAAACTCTGACTTGTATGTCTTGTATGTTATTCTGTTATGTTGATTTTTTTTCCACGTTGTGTTTAAGGTATGTATATATACGCAGACCCGTGTACTGTTTATGAGCAAAAACACAAAGAAAAGTGGGGAGAGATTTGAAAAAGAGGAAAAAATAAATAAGAGAATCAGGGTAAAACTGATGTTTATGGATACTGTAGATGATGATGATGATCAGCTTTATCCAGCCATATGTTCAATCTTACCTGTACAGTACAATAGATGACACAGCTGTATTATTGTAACAAGAACTTGTCATGTATAGTGTAACTATAGTTTGGAGTGCCTTTGCTTTCATACACCTTCGCTTTGTCTCCACCCCGCCTCCCCCTTGGCCATCAACCACCACTCAGTGTTGTGACTCCCCCCTTGGTGCTGTTGAATGTCCTGCTACACAAACGCCCCCTCCACCCTCAGCATTTCCTCACTTTCCATTGCACAGTTAACGTCTTACACAGATGTAGGTAATTCTACCAACAGTTCTCCTTAACTGACAGGTGTTTATTTTGATGGATGTTTTATTTTGGGCACCACGGTCCTGTTTGGGCTGAAGTGGGTCGTTCTAGAGGTGGAGGCTCTGTTTTTTAAGGCCTGGTTTACTGTACATATACAGTACAGTAGAGATTCTGTATCACTCACAGTGTTGGTTCTGTTTCCAAAGCCAAACTTTAATGTCATTGTGATGAGCCATTTTCAGAGGCAATAGCTCCTTTTCTCTTCTGTTTGGGTATTTTGTTGTCTCTCTCCTCTGGCTTGTTCACCCCCTGTGGAAGGGATGGTGTAATTCAGTAGCACCCCGGGGTCGAGTCATGTAGCCTTTTCTCTGTCTCCTGCTTGCTGTAAACTGACGTTCATGAACGTGTTGCTACCCTCTACAACAAGGTTTGACCACTTTAACCTAAACTTTAACATCCAGTTAAATAAAATAAAAAAAAAACACCTGAACGGTTACCAAAAGAAAAGAAGTATAGATACTAGTATTATATACTAGCATATATACTTGTAAAACATGCTATAACTGGGTATACCTGGGTTAAAGAAAACATAACAAAAAAAAGTTAAATACTACAAAAAACATCCTGTATAAGAGTACTACTACTTGAATGCTTCTGTTTGTGACTGAAATGTTTATTTCTTTTATTTTGTTTCTTTTTGTTTCTTTCGTTATGTGAAGGTATGCTAAATGTGCGCCTCTGTAAATATTCCCTCTGCGTGCTCCGAGGAATAGTTCCCTGGTACTGTAATTTGCATTAAATAAAGAGTAGGATAGCCTGGAAACGATCAAGAAGTTTTTCTGCCTGGTCTTTGGGAGCTGCTATTTTGATATGTTTTGCATATTTTTCCCCATAATTTGCAAAAAAAAAAACAACTGCATGCATACATAAACTGAGTAAAAATGTAGTCATCAGAAGCTTCAAAGTTCTAGGAGTTTTGTATGTTAAAAAAAAGAGATGTTAAATGTTATGCTGAATTTTATAGGGAGCCAATAAAGTGAAGCTAAAATTGGAAAAATATGATCTTTGATCTGTGATTTAACCCTCTCGCAGCAGCATTTTTGAAAAGCTGATGGCTTTTAGTGATACATAAATACAAGGACTAGTTCCTTGTACCACTCTGGAACAAGATGATTTTAATTTTAACAATTGAATTGTCAAAAGAGGTGATCTTAGAAATTAGTTTTAAATGGGAGTTGACATGTCCTGGTCAAACTAACTCCAAGGTTATTGTTTTTTATTATTAATTTTGGAGGCCAGTTTAATGCCATTAAGGATAATCAGTTAACTAGATGGTGTATTTCCAGGAAGCTCCGGCAGCAATTTTATTTAAATTTGGGTGCAGAAAATGTAGTTTGAGACGTAATCTATTCTGGATTGATCAGTTGTCATGGATAAAATAAGTCAAGTTTCTTTTTTTTTTTTGTGCTGAAACGTTTCGCCTTCGGTCCGGAAGTCTTCATCAGTCAAGGAAACACACAGCAACGTTTCAGCACAAACAAAAAAAGAAACTGTCCAGATGACCTTACTGAAAAATGTTGGATTGTATACCTGGATTATTGAGCATGGACTTTGTTCAAGTTATTTGTCATATGCAAGGTTAACACAGGGTTAACAGTACAATGAAATGCTTAGGGTGAGAAAACCCGATTTGACTCGCTAAAAAATCAACTTGCCAACAAGAAAATACAAAAAAGCATGCAATAAGGGTACACAAAAAAGTACCAAAAAGTGAATATCATCATAAAAGAATATTATCAGCTTAACAATAGAAATTTAACCTCATGCTGCTGAAAAAATTGATGAGTATTGGTCCAATCACTGAACCCTGAGGAACTCCATAACTAACTGATGTATTAGGAAGACTACTGAGATCTGTAGAGCTACATGGCTCAATAGTCTAGCTGCAACACTGAAAACACTTTATCTTCCAATAGCAACTACAGGTAAGCATTTAAGTTTTGCAAAGGACTTTCTTACAATCACTTTTGTTTATAAATCATGAGACTTTCAAATCAGTATACTGGTGCTGGTCATAAAAATAGAATATCATGAAAAAGTTGATTTATTTCAGTAATTCCATTCAAAAAGTGAAACTTGTATATTCATTCATTATACACATACTGATATATTTAAAATGTTTATTTATTTTAATGATTATAACTGACAACTAATGAAAACCCCAAATTCAGTATCTCAAAACATTTGAAAAAGGTTCAGTATTGAAGACACCTAGTGCCACAGTCACAGTCTAATCAGTTAATTAGCTCAACACCTTCAAAGGCATTTAAATGGTCTCCCAGTCTAGTTCTGTAGGCTACACAATCATGGGGGAGACTGCTGACTTGACAATTGTCCAAAAGATGACCATTGACACCTTGCACAAGGAGGGCAAGACACAAAAGGTCATTGCTAAAGAAGCTGGTTGTTCACGGAGCTCTGTCCAAGCACATTAATAGAGAGGCAAAGGGAAGGAAAAGATGTGGTAGAAAAGTGTGTACAAGCAATAGGGTAACCGCACCCTGGAGAGAATGGTGAAACAAAACCCATTCCAAAATGTGGGGGAGATTCACAAAGAGTGGACTGCAGCTGGATTCAGTGCTTCAAGAACCACCACGCACAGATGTATGCAAGACAAGGGGTTCAGTTGTCACATTCCTTCTGTCAAGCCACTCTTGAACAAGAGACAGCGTCAGAAGCATCTCGCCTGGGACTGCTGCTGAGTGGTCCAAAGTTATGTTCTCTGATGAAAGTAAATTTTTGCATTTCCTTTGGAAATCAAGGTCCCAGAGTCTGGAGGAAGAGAGGAGAGGCACAGAATCCACTTTGCTTGAGGTCTAGTCTCAAGTTTCCATAGTCAGTGATGGCTTGGGGCCATGTCATCTGCTGGTGTTGGTCCACTTGTGTTTTCTGAGGTCCAAGGTCAACACAGCCGTCTACCAGGAAGTTTTAGAACACTTCCTCCTTCCTGCTGCTGACCAACTTTATGGAGATGCAGATTCCATTTTCAAACAGGACTTGGCACCTGCACATGGTGCCAAAGCTTCCAGTACCTGGTTTAAGGACCATGGTATCCCTGTTCTTAATTGGCCAGCAATCTCACCTGACCATAACCCCATAGAAAATCTATGGAGTATTGTGAAGAGGAAGATGTGATACACCAGACCCAACAATTCAGAAGAGCTGAAGGCCACTATCAGAGCAACCTGGGCTCTCATAACTCCTGAGCAGTGACACGCCGCATTGCTGCAGTAATCCAGGCAAAAGGAGTCCCAGCTAAGTATTGAGTGCTGTACATGCTCATACTTTTCATGTTCATACTTTTCAGTTGGCTAACATTTTTAAAAATCTCTGTTTTTAATTTGGTCTTAATATTCTAATTTTCTGAGAAACTGAATTTTGGGTTTTCATTAGTTGTCAGTTATAATCATCAACGTTAAAAGAAATAAAACATTGGAAATACATCAGTCTGTGTGTAATGAATGAATATACAAGTTTCACTTTTTGAATGGAATTACTGAAATAAATCAACTTTTTCATGATATTCTAATTTTATGACCAGCATCAGTAATGTCCTTTCAAGTTTACTGGTTAAAAGTATACAGCTGTTTGCAGCAACTACGTTTGCTGGAGGGGCGGCTGTGGCTGAGTGGTTAGAGCAGTCGTCATCCTGTGCAAGTTCAAATCCACCAGCAGTCACGTTGAAGTGTCCCTGGGCAAGACACTGAACCCCTCGTTGCCTCTGATGTGTATCCTGTCGGTGCATGAATGCGATCTAAAACACTGATTAGTCTCTTTAGAATGATTTGTTCAGTTAACTTCGTAGAGCTCTAGCAGAGCTGAAGGGGTAAATGAGGGCACAAATTGTAATGTAAAGCACATTGAGCATCTTGATCAAATAAAAAGTTGCTGTAGAAATACAGTCCATTTACACATCATCAATCCTGTTTTTCAGTTGCTTGTACATCAATGACCACAGCAGGGCAGTATTTGTTTGACTGTGACAACAAAGAGACAGAAACATTATCAAATCACATGAGCACCTTTATTCACTTTTATTTACAATAAAATAATCACTTTTTACAGTTGCATATAATATGCAGAACACTATCTGAGATAACAAATATAAAAAAAAGGTAAGAAAAACTTGGCAGCCAAGCTTCCATATACTTCCTGAGAATCTTAATGTTGCAGTCACAATATGTGCAGTAAACATCAAAGCTCAATATTTTCACCAATATTCACTTGCGCTGTAACCAGTAACACAATAACAACAAAAATGTAATACTGCCCATGTCTGATTTGTAAACAAAAGAAATTACTTTTCATGGGGACTGGACTCGTCTTTGGCTTAATTTGGCAACATCAGGACATTTTTCCTTAAATCAGTAGTCGTTTTCTGTTTCATGTCTCCATTATTAACAGCTGAGATTTCAGAGTCTGCTTTACCCATCGTTACTGGAGGTTTTACCGACCACCTCCCTCATGAGAGGAGAGAGGGTGTCAGGATGGACATCCTGGATCTGCAGGATCTGCTTGCTGTACTCCTCTGTCATTGTTCTCAACTCTGTCAGGCAGGATATCACCTTGGGGTACAGCAGACTGAAGGAGCAGGAGACGGTGATGGATGCATTTATAAAACATTTCACACTGAGTGGATCAAGAGCAGTGCTTCACTCACTGTTTTTTGGGGCCTGTCCTCTTGCAGTCGATCCACATTTTGAGTGTGAGCGCCAACTCTTCGTGGACTTTGTCAATCACACTGCGTTGCTGCACTCCTGGACGATCTAGTGATTTGAATTAAAAAAACAAAACATTTTGAAATAGATTCTGTGCCATTTGTGAGGTTTAAATAGCGACTATATTCTGTAATGGCTGATCAGATCAGTGTGGGGAAAAACTGACGCGCCACTACCTGGAGAAAACAACGACATGGCCTGTAAGAGAGCGTACTCCTCCTCGTGCAGGTCCAGTTTGCGTAGTCTATGGTGAAATCTGAACATGGGCTCCAGAAGCAGCGGCTGGAAACCAGCTGTGAGACACACGAAAGTAAGTCAGTGAAAAGAATGGAAAGAAAGGAATGAACTGGGCTATTCCCAACTTACTCACTTTTTTCAGACACAACCATATTTTTTTTCTTCTAGAAAAATCTTGGAATGACCTGACTGAAAACTGTTGGATTGTATACCTGGATTATTGAGCATGGACTTTTGTTGTTTTCAACCAGTTTGACATAACTGTAGACGAGGAAGATGGCCGGCACCGGAGGAGGGGGCGTGCCAAAGAGACCATCTTAGCACCAACATAACTGGTTTGTTCCACTTTGGAGTAAGCTGTTTGGGGGAATAATCAGTTTTGTGTTGTGTGTTTCCTTGACTGATGAAGCCTTCCGGATGGAAGGTGAAACGTTTCAGCAAAACAAGAAACTGTCCAGATGACCTGACTGAAAATTGTTGGATAGAAAAATAAGGTTATTTTCTCTATTCTGACTGTAATGATGAGCTAATGACTAGTCTGAGTGGGGCTAAGTCTGCACCAAGTGCTACAGCTAGCTGCTAAATGTGATTTTTTCAGATTAGAATTGTTTTTACTCACAATCCCCTTTGGTCTCAGCCCCACTAGCTGTTAGATTAGCAATCTAGTCAGAATTAACTTTTTTTCTCCAAACTGAGGCTACTTTAAAATATATCTAAAACAGGTAAGATTTTAACAAAGTCCATGCTCAATAATCCAGGTATACTATCCAACATTTTTCAGTCAGGTCATCTGGACAGTTTATTTTTTTGTGCTGAAACGTTTCGCCTTCGATCCAGAAGGCTTCATCAGTCAAGGAAACACACAACAAAACTGATTCTTCCCCCAACAGCTTACTCCAAAGTGGAACAAACCAGTTTTGTTGGTGCTAAGATGGTTTCTTTGGTACGCCCCCTCCTCCATTGCTGGCCCTCTTCCTTGTTGACAGTCGTGTTAAACTGGTTGAAAACAACAAAGTCAATGCTCAATAATCCAGGTATACAATAGTCAGGTCATATGGACAGTTTCTTTATTTGTGCTGAAACGTTTCGCCTCTTTGGAGTAAGCTGTTGGGGGAAGAATCAGTTTTGTTGCGTGTTTCCTTGAGTGATGAAGCCTTCTAGACCGAAGGCGAAACGTTTCAGCACCAAAAAAGAAACTGTCCCGATAACCTGACAAATGTTGGACAGGTAAGATATTAATAACATTTTCACCAAATTTCACTTAAAAAACTATGGACTGTTCCACACACACACAAAAAGCCTTATCTTAGCTATCCACCATATCATCAGAAATCTGTATCACCTGCTATGTTATTGTTGCAGGTTTATAGAATATGTCAAGAGAAATTTTAGGCAAGAGGAGCAACGGCATGGAAAGAAGAAGAAAACAAGCCATGTTCCACGTTTATGTTATCCGTGTTGTTGATCTCCAATCATTTCATCATGGCAGCTCATATATATTTTTTTTCATTTAGCCTTTATTTATCCAGGTTAGTCTCATTGAGACACGAGAACTCATTTTCAAGAGAGACCTGTTTAGGGAGCACATGGTGGGGTTAAGGGCCTTGCTCATGGGCCCAGAGTGGGGCGAATGAGGGTGGGGGCAAGTGTGGGTGTTTCACCTACCCCACCCACAATTTTGATGTTGTCGGGGCCGGGGCGTGAACCGGCGATCTTCGGATCACAAGCCCACATCTCTAACCTCTGCGCCACCACTCCCCCCATATATGACTACTTGATTACTTCATTCTCATTTAGTATGTGTGGTGGTTCAGTCTGCTGTCAGTAGCAACTTAATAATGACCAATATTAGATGTGACAACTAATATGTTTATTGCTGCTGCACTATGTGGTTCTAACCTTACCATCATAGTTCATCTCAATGTCACTCACTACCTGTGCAATAACCTGTCACAACCTGTGTAGTATATGTTAGTTATGTGCAATATACTGTAGATATCATGTGCACTGAAGCTTATATTACTACCCTGAAATACTTATTCATACAAATTCATGCTACTTGCACGGTTATATTCTACCATGTTGTTGTTTACTTTTTTCTTTTGGACCTAGTAAATATTAAATATTATATTTACTTTTTCACTATTTGGTACTTTATTTTGTACCCTTATTGCATGTTTTGGAATTTGTTTGTTTGTTCTTGTTTTTTAGCGAGTCAAATCAGTTCTTCTCATCCTGAACATGTTATTGAACTGTTGACCTTGTGTTATCCAGTATAAGACAAATAAACATAACTTGAACTAACTTGAACTTGATAAGCTAATACTTTGAGAAGCTATTTGTTATTTTCTGATTTTTAGTTAAAACAACTTGAAACTTAGATGATGTGTCTGAAGGTAGAAGTAGAAGGTCTGATGCTAAATATTGGCAATGATTATGCTCCACAGTTTGGATGTGATGGTGAGGAGAAAGTTACATTTTGGAAGGATCTGGATGAAGTGATAGAGAGTATTCCCAGGACGGACAGAGTGGTGATCAACGCAGACCTGAACGGACATGTTGGTGAAGGAAACAGAAGGGATGAAGAAGTGATGGGTAGGTTGGTGTCAAGGAAAGAAACCAGGAAGGACAGATGGTGGTGGATTTTGCCAAGAGAATGGAAATAGCTGTAGTCAACACATATTTCCAAAAGAGGGAGGAACATAGAGTGACCTATAAGAGTGGAGGAAGGAGTACGCAGGTCGACTACATTCTGTGTAGAAGAGGAAACCTTAGAGAGATTAGAGACTCTAAGGTTGTGGCAGGGGAGAACGTGGCCAGACAGCATTGGATGGTTGTGTGTAGAATGACTGTTGTTATGAAGAAGAGAAAAAGAGTAAAATCAGAGAAGACCAAATGGTGGAAGATGATGAAGGAAGAATTTTGTGAGAAATTAAGAGAGGCTCTGGATGGTAAGAAAAAGCTTCCAAATGACTGGGCTACTACAGCAACAGTAATTAGAGACATGTAGTAAAGTGCTTGGTGTGTCATCTGGACAGAGAATGCATGATAAGGAAACCTGATGGTGGAATAGTGAAGTACACTGAGCTGAGAAGAAATATGACAGTGAGAGGACTGAAGAGAGGAGACAGGAATATAATGAGATGGGACATAGAGCAAAGAGGGAGGTAGCTAAGGCAAAGCAGAAGGCGTATGATGAGTTATATGGGAGGCTGGACACTAAAGAGGGCGAGAAGGACTTGTACTGATTGGCGAGACAGACGGATCAGGATGAAAAGGACGTGCAGCAGGTTAGGCTAATTAAAGATAGGAGTGACAATGTCCTAACAAGTGAGGAGATTGTGACTGGAAGATGGAAGGAATACTTTGATGAGCAATGAATGAAGGGAATGAAAAAGAAAGAAGAGTAGAGGTCATAGAAACTGTGGACCAGGAAGTGAGAAAGATTAGTGAGGGTGAAGCTCTGAAAGCCTTGTAAAGAATGAAGAAGGGGAAGGTAGTAGGACCTGATAACATAGCAGTGGAGGTTTAGAAATGGCCTGAAGAGATGGCAGTGAGGTTTTTGACTCAAATATTCAATGGCACATTTGAGGGTGATAAATTGCCTGAGGAATGGAGAAGAAGTGTGCTGGTGGCCATTTTTAAAAACAAGGGTGATGTACAGAGTTGTAGCAGCTACAAGGGAATTAAGTTGATGAGTTACACAATGAAGATCTGAGAGAGAAATGTGGAAGAAAGACTTAGACAAGAGGTGACTATTTGTGAGCAACAATATGGTTCCGTGCCAAGAAAGAGCACCACAGATTCCATCTTTGCTTTGAGGATGCTAATAGAGAAGTACAGAGAGGGTCAGAAAGAACTCCATTTTATCTTTGTGGCTTTAGAAAAAGCATGACAGAGTGCCGAGGGAGGAGGTGAGGTATTGCATGAGGAAATCTGGAGTGGCAGAAAAGTATGTTAGACTGGTACAGGACATGTATGAGGACAGCATGACAGTGGTGAGATGTGCTGTAGGAGTGACAGATAACTTCAAGGTGGAGCTGGGAATTCATCAAGGATCAGCTCTGAGCCCCTTCTTGTTTGCTCTAGTGATGGATTGACTAACAGACGAGGTCAGGCAGGAATCCCCGTGGACTATGATGTTTGCAGATGACATTGTGATCTGTGGTGAGAACAGGAAACAGGAAGAGAACTTGGAGAGGTGGAGGTATGCACTTGAAAGAAGAGAAATGAAAGTTAGCCATAATAAGACAGAGTGTGTGAATGAGAGGGAGGACAGTGGAACAGTGAGGCTACAGGGAGCAGAGGTCACAAAGGTGCAAGACTTCAAGTACTTGGGGTCCACTGTCCAGGAAAATGGGGAGTGTGGTAAGAGGTGAAAAAGAGAGTCCAGGCAGGATGGAGTGGATGGAGAAAAGTTTCAGGAGTGATTAGTAACGAAAGGGTGTCAGCAAAGGTCAAAGGAAACGTTTACAAGATAGTGGTGAGACCAGCTATGGTGTATGATCTGGAGACAGTGGCATTGACAAAAAGACATGAGAAAGAACTGGAAGTGGCAGAAATGAAGATGTTGAGTTTCTCATTAGGAGTGACAAGGATGGATAAGATGAGATCATCAGAGGTACAGCACAGGTTGAACAACTGGGAGATAAAGTTAGAGAAGCCAGACTGAGATGGTTTGGACATGTCCAGAGGAGGGACAGTGGGTATATTGATAGACGGATGTTAGAAATTAAGCTGTCAGGGAAAAGACAAAGAGGAGATATATGGATGCAGTTAGAGAGGACATGGAGGTAGTTGGACTGAGGACAGAGGATGCAGAGGACAGAGTGAGGTGGAGGAGGATGACTCACTGTGAAGACCCCTGAAGAGGGAAAAGTCGAAAGAAGAAGAAAGACGTTAGAAAAACTTGAAAGTTAATACAATTTGACTGTAGTCCAAAAAATGTACTGTGATTTTCCCAGATAGTTTTCTGAAACACTTTCTTAAAATTTGATAGAGATCAAAGTCATTGTCTCCTCAGTTTATCCCAAAATACATACTTTATTGGGACATTTTATTTAAGAAACTTTAATTTCACATCAGGCATCGTGAACGAGAAGCTATGTATCCATTTGTCTATTACACAGTTTAAAAAGTTCTTTGGCACATATTTTCAAAATTAGGCTAATTTTTCTTTGTTTCCTTTAGAAAATTTGAATTGTAATAACAATAGTCATGTCTAATTTTCAAAGAGTATTTTTTGACGAGTTCTCCGCAGTGGAATCCATTTTTTAATTTCAGCTTTTCTAGCCTTAAATGTGTGGTTGTGTTTTGCTTTCTTTTTTTTTTTTTATCAGCACTTAAACGTTTGGTTAAAATAAACAAATTTCAATTAAAGTTTCCTTTGTTTGCACACTAAGCAAAGAGCGATATCATATTTCTGATTATTTAAAATAATCTATTCCCCATGTCTTCTTCTGAATAATAGTAACAGAATCAGTTTTCACTGGAAAAAGCCTCCTCCCAAAGTAATGCAGTTTTGCTGGTCAGGCTAGCCTTACCAATGTGCGATTTAAATTTGATCTAAATCAGTGCAACCTGGAGGAAAATAAAAAGTTGAGCTGTGCTGCCTTGATTGATCCTTTATGAAATATTCATACTGACCACTCACAAACCATATTCTATGATCCTTATTTACATGATAAACAAACACAATCAAATGTATTTTTAGCAGCGGATGTTAATGAAACTCTTGCCAGCAGGCAGAAGACGAAGCGCAGTGAAGGAGCTCCTTTTTAAGTGATTTAAAAACAGACGGTACCAGTATGGCTGCATTCTGGTACCTTTTCTTCTCGCAAGCATCAAGAAACACAACTGAAGAGGTGAGTGTGTAAACAAGTGATGCAACAGAAACTACAGTATGAGCAGAGCAGTATATATATGTGCACACAAGCATTTTGGATTTAAAAAAAATTTTTTTTTTTTAAGTATAACACTAGTGTAACTGAGTCCTTTCCAAATTAGTCCTTAAATTAAAATGTCACTGAGCATACTGTACGTTAGTATCACATGTATAGGATTTGTAAATCAGAAACTCTGCACATTCTTGCAGGTTTTCCAGCATCTGCCTCACTTTGTCCTAATCCTGTCTCCATTAAGCTTTGATTGTGTGCTGAAACAGTTATTACTGACAGGAAATTGTAAACAGTATTTTTTTTAAAAACATGACGTTTGGGCTAAAGTAGGAAGCTTTAGCCAAGCTAAATATGTTATGCATATGCTGTTAATGTGGGTGTTCTCGCCACCTGGTCGCATAAATGGGTATTTTAGTTGAAACGTAAATGGAAAAAACTACAAAAACTTTTTAATAAAGATCCAGAGAAGTGTAGACAGGGCCTATTTTTTACCTGCTTGACGAGCTAACAGCTAGCCCAAGCAGTGCTAAGACCAAAAGGGGTAGCTCCTATCTTAAATCAACCCCAATATTTATGCAAACCTTACACGTCAGTCAGTTTCTTATCACACAATTATTTACATGAAATTCTGTTATTGGATGTGCTAATAGTAGTAGCTAGCTGTGGCACTTCTGGTGCAGACTTGCAGAATATTATATGAGCGATGTGAAACTGATGGCAATGTAGGTTTAAAAAAATTGTGTTGTGAAAACTTTTGGGGATACTTTTAAGATGGCAGCAACCCCATTTGATTTTGATTTAGCCATTAGCTCATTAACCTGTTCAGAATTTATTTCTTCAAACTGTCATCATTCATCAAGCGATCCACACCAGAAAAGATAGTGATTGTTCATAACTCCAACATTTTTCAGTCAGGTCATCTGGACTGTTTCTTTTTTTGTGCTGAAAAATTTTGCGTTTCGAAGAGGGCTGGCAATGGAGGAGGGGGAATACCAAAGAGACCATCTTATCACAAGCAGAACTGGTTTGTTCCACTTTGGAGTAAGCTGTTGGGGGAAGAATCAGTTTTGTTGTGCGTTTCCTTGACTGATGAAGCCTTCCGGACCGAAGGCGAAACGTTTCAGCACAAAAAAAGAAACTGTCCAGATGACCTGACTGAAAAATGTTGGATTGTATACCTGGATTATTGAGCATGGACTTTATTGTTCATAACTATTCCACAGAATTCCACTTAAAAACATTCAACCTTTCCCTTTTTGTAAAGAATTTGAGCTTTTTAAAAAAAAAATCAACACTAAGCTTGGTCACGAGCTCTGGGTAGTGACCAAAAGAATAAGATTATGGATACAGGCAGTTGAAATGAGTTTCCTCTGCAGGGTAGCTGGACTCTCCCTTAGAGATAGGGTGAGAAGTTATTTTATCCGGGAGAGACTCTGAGTAGACCCGCTGCTCCTCCACATCGAGAGAAGCCAGTTGAGGTGGTTCGGGCATCTGCTAAGGATGCCCTCTGGACGCCTCCCTAGGGAGGTGCTTCGGGCATGTCCGACTGGGAGGAGACCCCGGGGAAGACCCAGGACACGCTGGAGAGACTATGTCTCTCGGTGGGCCTGGGAACGCCTTGGAATCCTCCCAGAAGAGCTGGAAGACATGGCTGTGGAAAGAGATGTCTGGGCTTCCCTGCTCAAGGTGCGGCCCCCGCGACTCGACTTCGGAACAAGCGGAAGATAATGGATGGAGCACTAAGCTTTTGTGGTCTTTAATCATTTTGTTGGACTATCACTATCCCTGTTTGTTGAAGTAGATAGATCATACTTCCTAAACCCACAGCCAAATCCAGACAGCAAGCACACACAGAGAATAAGCAAATGCTTTCTTAAGAAGAATGTAATGACACATCACAAATAAAGGCACTGATTGGGTGGACTAGATGTAACTCAGCTGTTTGCCTTAATGATCCCACCTCGCACACCGTCGTGGATGCAGTATGTTAAGTGGCCGCATTCCCAGTTGCTTGTTGTCACGTTGAACACCGTGTTGAAGCGAATCTGCATTAATTCAAATGTGGCTCCCTTCAGCAGAGATATCTGATCCTCAATAGTCAGCGACCTTTAAAAGAACAAATTACAAATGTATTTTGAAAACCTCCAGCATGGTCAGAAAAGAGTGGGGTGAAACAAAAGAATGTAAACTGTGAAATTATTCAGGTGGAGGAGTTTCAGTGTGTAAAAACCCAGCCCAGAAACAATTGATGTATGAGTGTAACCTTTGACCCTTCAGGTAGCGCTGCTTGAGAGACTGCCATGTGATCAATACGGGCAGAAAACTGATGGCACTCAAACACGAACATCACAAAGGACACTGCTCTAGGGAATAAATTATTTTGCTTGTAGAAAATATAAAATAAAATATTTTTTAATCAGTAGAGTACAAAAGCCAGTGTCCGTTATAGAATTACTCTAAATTTCATACAGTCATCCCTCATTTCTTCCTACTTTGCTTCCAAAGAACCAAACTGCAATAGTTATTTAGGCCTTCTGTTGGTCTTTAAAAGGTTTTCTTACTTTTTTTTTTCTTTTCTTCTTTTTCACTCATTTTCAGTCCAGTTTGTTTGTGAAACCTCTAAACTCTGAACTATGAGTCATTCAAGTGTAAAAAGGCTCCCCGAATCAAGTGACAAAGCAGTGTTGTGTTGACGCATACCAGAGCAATCAATTTTAAATTGAATATTTAGTAATTCTGTTATTTTCTGCCTGTCACAAAGTAGGAGAGACATAACAGTTTTTTTTATTTTTATCTGAATCTATGAGAAACAACAACTAAAACCATTTGACAGATAAAATAATATTTTAAGCAATTAAGCGGTTCCAAAAAAAACTATTAGCTGAAAACTTTGCATACATACCTTGACCAGTGTCATATCTTTTTGGATCTGCTGTTGATACTGTTTATTCATTAGGTAACACTTATTGTTTTCTCCTTCACTTATTTCATATTTTAACCACATACAATTCACGGTCAGGGTCACATAGAAGAACTGGACAGAAAATGGGTGAAAAAAGTACAGATTACTTTAAAAGATTAAAGAACTACCTGGTTGCTTAGAAGCAAATGTTAAAGAAATGTAAACAATTTCGATAAAAAAAAAGTGTTTTGTGGAAACTTGGTTTGCACTCCCCCTGAAATACATTTAGGCCGTATTTATATGACATTGTTCTTTGAGTGAAACCAAAGCTTTTCTACAGTGGTTCCATCAATTGTGTACACATAAAAAAAGCTCACTCATTCTCTCAGAAACTGAAGGTCTCGTTGTGGAGGTTTTTTTTTGGGAACCCTCCACCGTGATGTGAAATACTCAACAGGTGTGAAATTGCACGTGCACTGCAGGCAGCTGCAATCAAATGTTTTTCTGCACTAACAACAGACAGTTCTTGATCTATTCTTCTTGTCCTGTTGCCTTCATACATCTCCTCCTACATGTCACTACATGAGTGCAGCTACAGCATGCACTCTCAGGACATTATTACATGCAGTGTACCCTCAGTGTGAACTGATCTAGGCAAAAGGGCCTTCTCCTACTCCGCTCCTGTATTCAACCTTTATTTAGACAGGTTAATCCCATTGAGCCTTGGGGACTCATTTACAAGAAAAACCTGATTTCTTAACAAAGAGTGACGACAAAAATGGATAACAACCTATCCTGGAACACTTTGCAAAACGATTTGAAGCTCTCAACCTTGAGCTCTCCAAGTGGCTTCAAACAAGTTCATGGCAAAAATCAATACAGACATGTTCCTGTTTTTAGCATTTTATATTGCTTTATAACATAGCAGTTTTGTGTTGTTTTTTAACATAATTTTCTTCCATTTATTTATTTTTTCAATTTATATACCTTCTTTTAAGATTGTCTACTGTTGTCATTATCATCTACTGTCGTCATCATTCTTTGCTAAAAACAGGTTGCCCTTATAAATGAGTCTTCAAAGCTCAATGAGACCAACCTGTATAAATAAAGGTTGAAAAAGTAACTGGCAGAGAGCAGTGTTTTTTGTGCTTCTCATCCTTGTAAGAGCAAACCGACAACATCCTAGGTCCAAAGGAACATTAGTGTATTCACCAGTTTGGCTGTAACAATGAACATACAGAGGTGACAGTGCATGAGCAAAGCATGCAGCTGAGCCAGGTAACAGTGTTGTCAGATAAAAATAAACATGTTTTTGTCCCCTCCTTTTCTGTGTGCATGTTCACCAACTTCATGCAGTCATCCCTTATTTCTTCCTACTTTGCATCGAAAAAACCAAACTGCAATGTTGTTCACTAAACATCCTCCTTGAATCGCCACCTTATCATGGTGGAGGAGTTTGTGCACCTGAATGATCCTAGGAGCTATGCTGTCTGGGACAATTTTAATTGCTCCTGGTAGGGTCTCTCTCCCAAGGCAGAATGGTTCTAAAAGACAGGCCAGACAAAGAGTGATTCAGAAGACTTGTATGGACAAAATAAAACAAGGAACTCTGTGTCCCTTGCCTGGATGTGGGTTACCGGTGCCCCACCCTGGAGCCAGGCCTGGGGGAGGGGCTCATCAGCAAGCACCTGGTGGCCAGATTTCTACCCATGGGGCCCGGTCTGGCTCAGCCTGAATGAGCAACATGGGTTTGCCTTCCTGTGGGCCCACCACCTGCAGGAGGGACCATATGAGTCGGGTACGTGAATCCATGGACAGTGGCCGAAAGTGGGGACCTTGGTGCTCTGACTGTGGCTTACCAAAACTGGCTCTTGAGACATGGAACGTGACCTCTCTGGTGGGGAAGGAGCCTGAGCTTGTGCATGAGATTGAGAGGTGCCAACTAGATATACAGTAGTTGGGCTCACCTTGACGCACAGCATGGGCTCTGGAACCGATGTCCTTGAGAGGGGATGGACCTTATTCCACTCTTGAGTTGCCCATGGTGAGAGGCACAGAGCTGGTGTAGGTATAGTCTTGGCCCCCTGACTTGGTGCTTGTGTGTTGGAGTTTTCCCCAGTAGATGAGAGGGTAGCTTCCCTGCGCCTTCTAGTGCGGGGACGGGCTCTGACTGTCGTTTGTGCCTATGTGCCGAAAGACAGTTCAGAGTATCTGGCCTTCTTGGAGTCCTTGGCAGGGGTGCTGGAAGGTGCACCAGCTGGGGACTCCTTTATTCTGCTGGGGGACTTCAATGCCCACGTGAGTAACAACAGTGTGGCCTGGAGGGTCATGATTGGGAGGAACAGCCTCTCTGATTTGAACACGAGCAATGTTCTATTGTTGGAATTCTGTGCTAGCCATAGTTTGTCCATCACAAACACCATGTTCAAACAAAAGGGTGTCCATAAGTGCATTTGGTACCAGGACACCCTAGATCATAGATTGATGATTGACTTTGTAGTTGTGTCTTCTGATTTGTCAAGTCAAGTCAGATTTATTTATAGAGCACATTTAAAACAGAAACTGTTACCAAATTGCTTAACAAAAATATCACAACATCAAATAAAAAGTAACAATATATATTTACAGCACATGGAATAAAAATATAAAACAGAAAACATAATTAGAAAGAATGAAATACTAATTCAGTCGTTTGTGGCCGTTTGTTTTAGAGACTGGTGAAGAGAGGAGCTGAACTGTCAACTGATCACCACCTGGTAGTAAGTTGGATCAGATGGTGGGGGAAGATGCTGGACAGACCCAGTAGACCCAAATGTGTAGTGAGGATTTGTTGGGAACGCCTGGCAGAAGAACTGTCAGAAAGATCTTCAACTTACACCTCTGGGAAAGCTTTAACCACATCCCAGCTGAAGTGGGGAACATTGAGTCAGAGTGGACCATGTTCTATGACTCAATTGTTGAAGTGGCTGCCTTGAGTTATGGCTGCAAGATTATCGGTGCTTCTTGTGGTGGCCATCCTCAAATTTGGTGGTGGACACCCCAGGTTAGGGAGGTTGTCCAACTGAAGAAGGAGTCCTATTGGTCCTTGTTGGCTGGCGGGACTCCGGAGACAGCTGAGGAGTACTGGAGGGCCAAGCAGGCCGCAGCCTTGACTGTTGCTGAGGCAAATTCTCGGATGTGGGAGGAGTTCGGTGAGACCCTGGATAATGACTCTCTGTCAGCTCCAAGGATATTCTGGCAAACTATCAGGTGGCTGAAGAGGGGAAAACAGCCCTTTACTAATACTGTGTTCAGTGAAAGTGGAGTGCTGCTGATCTCAACCAGTGATGTCATGAGGAGGTGGAAGGAATACTTTGCGGACCTTCTCAATCTCACTGGCACGTCTTCCATGGAGGAATCAGTCAGGGGACTTTGGAGGTGATCTGTCCATAAGCATGGCTGAGGTCACAGAGGTAGTTAAAAAGCTCCATGGCAGAAGGGCTCCGGGGGTGGATGAGATTCGCCCTGATTTCCTTAAGGCTCTGGATGTTGTGGGGCTGTCTTGGTTGACACGCCTTTGCAACATTGCGTAGACATCGGGGCAGTGCCACTGGATTGGCAGACTGGGGTGATGGTTCCACTCTTCAAAAAGGGGGGTCGGAGGGTGTTCTCCAACTGCAGGGGCATCAATCTCCTTAGCCTCCTTGGTAAGGTCTATTCAGGGGTATTGGAGAAGAGAGCCCGGTCATTGGTCGAATCTCAGATCCAGGAGGAACAATGCGGATTCTGTCCTGGTCATGGAACACTGGACCAGCTCTTTACCCTCAATAGATTTCTTGAGGGGTCATGGGAGTTTGCCCATCCAGCTTTGTGAGTATGGGATTGAGGGCCTGTTGTTACGGGCTGTTCGGTTCCTATATAAGCGGTGCGAGAGTTTAGCTTGCATTGCCGGTAGTAAGTCGGACCCCTTCAGGGTGGGAGTTGGACTCCACCAGGGCTGCCCATTGTCACAGATTCTGTTCATAACTTTTATGGACAAAATTTCTCGCTGCAGCCAGGGGACAGAGGGATTCAGTGGTCTCAGGATTCCATCTCTGCTCGTTGCAGATGAAGTGGTCATGTTGGCATCACTGTGCTGTGATCTTCAGCGCTCACTGGAGCAGTTTGCAGACGAGTGTGAAGTGGCTGGGATGAGAATTTGCATCTCCAAATCTGAGGCTATGGTCCTCAACTGGAAAAGGGTGGATTGCTCTCTTCAGATTGAGGGTGAGGTTCTGCCTCAAGTGGAGGAGTTCAAGTATCTCAGGGTTTTGCTCACGAGTGAGAGAAGAATGGAGCATGAGATTGGCAGATGGATTGGTGCAGCGTCTGCAGTATTGCGGACTCTGTACCGGTCCGTTGTGGTGAAGAGGGAGCTGAGCTGAAAGGCAAAGCTCTCCATTTACTGGTCAGTCTATGTTCCTACCCTCACCTATGGTCATGAGCTCTGGTGGGTAGTGACCGAAAGAATGAGATTGCGGATACAGGTGGTTGAAATTAGTTTCCTCCGCAGGGTAGCTGAACTCTCCCTTAGAGATAGGGTGAGAAATTCAGTTATCCAGGAGAGACTCGGAGTAGAACTGCTGCTCCTCCACATCGAGGAGCCAGTTGAGGTGGTTCGGGCATCTGGTAAGAATGCTCCCCTCCCTAGGGAGGTGCTTCGGTCATGTCCGACTGGGAGGAGACCCCGGAGAAGACCCAGGACACGCTGGAGAGACAATAGCTTTGTTTACATGAGCAAGATTTTTTGACTGGATTGGAATGTTTTCAGATTAAATAATTCAAACGTATCGTTTACATGGGCACAGTCCGTTCATGGTGAGTGTTTACATGCAGCAGGCTTTGTTCTGAACATAAGTACAGACATGTGCAGAGTGGTAAACTCTCCTTAAAAAAAAAACACAGAAGAAGAAGTTCTACTTCTGGTTTACTACTTCCGGGATGAATGTAAACAAACCTGAGCGCCCAAAATGGACCCGCGACAGGTTTTAATGACGGTGGAGACATTACTGCACTCCCTGACTGAGCTACAGGTAATACAGACCATTTTGAGCTCTTTCAAAGTTTCTAGTAGAAATGTTGTGTTGCTCAGGTTTGCTTCCCCGGCCGACATGCTAATATAGCATTAGCCAGGCAGAAATGGCATAGTCGCACATGCGCAGTCAGGTCGGTTTTTCATGATCAGAAAAAAATTAACAGATTAAGTGTTTACATGCGCACCATTTGGGTTATGAATCAGCATAAACCACCCGTTTTATTCTGATCACAAATTATTTCGGATCATGCTGAATAAACAAAAAATAACCCAAACGGGGTGTTTACATGACGCGTTTTTATTCCGAATGGCCATTTGAGCCAATTACTTATGTCCATGTAAACATTGCTTATGTCTCTCGGTTGGCCTGGGAACGCCTTGGGCTCCTCCCAGAAGAGCTAGAAGAGGTGGCTGTGAAAAGAGATGTCTGGGCCTCCTTGCTGCTGCCCCAGCGACCCGACTTTGGAACAATCAGAAGATAATGGATGGATGGATGGATGTTCACTAAACACAATACACATCTCATCTTAGAACAAGCTCACTCAGCACATATGACAGTTTGGGTCAAAATCCATCTTGAAGCACCAGTACAATAATACAACACTTCTTATCTGGCAAGCCTGCCTGACAGAAACTACAGAGGATCCAAGTAAACAGGTTCTTTGCTTTTGTTGTTTATTCACTCCAGTAAACATTGGAAAAAACACTAATGTTTCCACAGGTTGTTCTCATTTAAAATACAACCAAGTTTACCTGAAGTTTGGAAGACTTTTGGAAAATCGAATGATGTCGTGAATCATGTAGGTTGTGAGATCTGCCATATGTGGAAGAGCGGTGTAAACTCTGTAGTTTTTGTCACTTCTGCAGGCCTCTTGTTTTCTAGAGAAGCCAGAGAAACCAGATGATGAGGGAGACGAGTATGAGGAAGAGAGGGAGCAGGTGTATGAGGATGATGTGGGGTCATGGGAGGATTTCCCATCTGGAGTACAGGTGTTTGTTGGGCAGATCATCAATAGATGTGACTGTTTTTGCTCGCTCTCTGCCAGGCTCTCTCTGTCCATTGGCTGAAAATAAAACAGGGTATTTAAAAGAGGGAAGGATGACGACTTTTGATCCGAATACAGTCATTTACCCACCCTGAAGCCAGTGAAGCGAGAAAACGCCGAGTCAAATGTGCTGTGGTGGTTGGAACAAAGCTCCTGGATGATTTTTTCTTGTTTGGGTGAAAGCTGCATGATGACATCACACATCTTTTTCTCCTTTATACGGATTCTTCTCTTCAAGATCTCCTCCTCTGACATGACCACTACACACAAACACACACACACACATACACAGGCATACAAGAACACATCACATTACAAGAAATACCAACAGCTGAACTAAAGTTATTCACTTCATCTAACAAGTACAACCTTAAAGCAGAATCATTAGTTGTATGTGAATGTTACTCACTCTCTTTGCACATCCCGATGGCCTGGCATTTATGGAAGCGGCAGGCTTGACACGACCGCCGGTTGTTTTTTGTGATAATGCATTCATTCAGGAATGAGCAGTGGAGCTGTGATGACCTCTTTATGGCACGTCTGAATTTAGTCAAAAATCCACTTAGTAACAAACTTCAATCTGAAGTTAGAAATCACAAGAATGAGAGCCGCCATTAAACGTAAAAAGTAGTCAAGAATTTGAGAATTAATTTTGTTTTGGTCCTTTTTTTATTGACCCTTCTACTGTAAGGGAAGTCATCGCAGCACCTGCAGGAGTTGAGAAAAGGAAGTCTGGGCCCTGCAGAGCCCGTACTGGTCTTCCATTAGCAAGCATTCAAGCTTTCTCTGACCCTTTGACCATTTGAAAACAAATTTGTTTACTATTTGTTTAAGACCGAAAGTGAAAGTTCAGACTTGTTGAAGTAGGATACCTTTGAATAGTTAAAAATAACCAACATCTAACCTGTTGTAGATGGCTTTTTGAATTACCTTAGTTTGAAGGAATTTATTTAACACTTAGTTGGTGAGCTAATGGCTAATTAACCTTAAGGCCAAGAACAAAGTAGATGTTGCCATCTGAAAACATAAGAAATTTCAAAATGTCGTGATTCAGTACATGATCATTTTTCTTAAACTGTTGGGGTATTTGCAGCAGCTAGCTGTAGCACTTCTGTTGTAGCATGGGGCATATCTGCTATGAAAATAATAATATTTCTGCCAGAATAACCAAGTACTACATAACTAATGTAAAGGGTAAAGGTTTACTAACATATCAAGGGTTGCTAATGTAAATGGTTATAAAATAGTGCTTGCTTGAACTGGAACAAAATCTCAAAGATTTAAGTTGTTTTAATGTGCCGGCAATCCATTTACCGGTAGTTTTCTACTTGAACTGGGTATTACTCTGTCAGTTTAATCAGAATTGAATGCTATTTCTCAAAACTCTTCAAATAGCCATCTACAGCAGGTAAGATATTTATTATTCATAAGAAAGATCTGAACAATCACTTTAGCCTGACTTTTTATGTAGTTTTACATCTGGAAAAGGGTATCTTCTGTTCAATATAAAATACAAACCGGATTCCAAAAAAGTTGGGACACTATAAACAAATTGTGAATAAATACTGAATGCAATGATGCGGAGGTGTCAACATCTAATATTTTATTCAGAATAGAACACAAATCACAGATCAAACGTTTAAACTGAGAGAATGTATCATTTTAAGGGAAAAATATGTTTCCAAATTTCATGGCATCAACAAATCCCAAAAAAGTTGGGACAAGTCCATTTTTACCACTGTGTGGCATCCCCCCTTCTTCTTACAACACTCAACAGACGTCTGGGGACAGAGGAGACCAGTTTCTCAAGTTTAGAAATAGGAATGTTCTCCCATTCATGTCTAATACAGGCCTCTAACTGTTCAATCGTCTTGGGCCTTCTTTGTCACACCTTCCTCTTTATGATGCGCCAAATGTTCTCTATAAGTGAAAGATCTGGACTGCAGGCTGGCCATTTCAGTACCCGGATCCTTCTCCTACGTAGCCATGATGTTGCGATTGCTGCAGAATGTGGTCTGGCATTATCGTGTTGAAAAATGCAGGGTCTTCCCTGAAAGAGATGACGTCTAGATGGGAGCATATGTTGTTCTAGAACCTGAACATAGCTCTCTGCATTAATGGTGCCTTTCCAGACATGCAAGCTGCCCATGCCACAAGCACTCATGCAACCCCATACCATCAGTGATGCAGGCTTCTGAACGGAGCGTTGATAACAACTTGGGCTATCCTTGTCCTCTCTGGTCCGGATGACATGGCGTCCCAGTGTTCCATAAAGAATTTCAAATCGTGACTCATCTGACCACAGAACAGTCTTCCATTTTTCCACACTCCATTTTAAATGACCCCTGGCCCAGTGCAAACGTCTGAGCTTGTGGAGCTTGCTTAGAAATGGCTTCCTCTTTGCACTGTATTGTTTCAGCTGGCAACAGCGGATGGCACGGTGGATTGTGTTCACTGACAATGCTACATGTCCTGCTGTCCTCATACAGGTCATGTACCAGTCTTAACATTTTCACCTTTCAGTCTTTCATTTTCATCTATAAGTCCCTCCTTGGTCTGCTACCTTCTTATATCTCCTCCCACATGTCATGTCGTCAGTGCAGTTACAGCATATGCACTCAGTCCATCATTACCTGCAGCGTTTCCTCAGTGCGGACTGAACTTTGCAAAAAGGCCTTTTCCTACTCAGCACCTGCAACCTGGAACACCTTGTAACAGGAACTGAAGCTGTTCACCTTGATTTCTTTAAGTGGTTTCAAACATTTGATAATGTCAATAGAAAAATCAAAGCAAATATGTTCTTGTTTAGTATTTCACCCTGTTTTAAGGCACACTGATTTATTGTTTTATACAATACTCTTATTTTAGCTGCATTTTTACTGTAGTTTTATTGTTGTCTTTGTTTACTGTTATTGTTGTCTGTATACCATACCATACCAATTTATTTATAGAGCACTTACAATAGCAACAAGGCAAACCAAAGTGCTGTACAATAGCAACAAACAAGCACAGCGGACAGGAAAACAAAAAATAAAAATATAGATACAAATAGCAGCAGATAATATCTAAAAGGCCAACACTGTAGAATACAGACAGGCTCAAAACAAATCACACCGGAATAAAAGTGGCGAGACATAAAGACTCTGAGTGTGGGAGCCTGCCTGACACGCAGTGGCAACTCATTCCACAGTCTTGGACCTGCAACAGTTAAGCCCCGTCACCTCTGAGCTTGCAACGGATTTCTGAAACTGAAAGGAGCATCTGGTCTGCTGACCTCAGAGAGCGCATTGGGACATATGGCTGTAGAAGATCAGTGAGATAGGACGGGGCAGAACTGTTCAGTGATTTAAAAAAGGTACATGAGAATTTTGAACTGGATCCGAAGGTGGATAGGTAGCCAGTGCAGGGAGGCCAAAACTGGAGTAATGTGCTTTCTATGGCCTGTACCAGTTAAAAATTGGGCTGCAGCATTTTGGACCAGTTGTAGACGTGCAATGGAGGATTGACTGATTCCAAACAGAAGCTTGTTGCAGTAATCAAGCCTGGAGTTATGAATGCATGGATCACGGTCTCAAGATTATTCTTTGGAGATTATGGGCTTCAGCTTAGACAGCCGCCTCAGCTGATAAAAACAGGATTTAACAATCATGTTTATGTGACTGTTAAGTTTCAGGGTTCATTATCACTCCCAAATTGGTGACTCTTTGTTTCTCTCACGGAGCTAGAGAGAAAAGGTCAATGCAGTGGTTCATGAACGTGCCATTGGAATGGAACAAGAGGACTTCAGATTTCTTCTCGTTGAAACTTAAGAAGTTTAAAGCCATCCAGTCCCGGATGTCAGCCAAGCAGTCCAGAAGAGGTTGAATAGAGTGTGTGCCAGGGGGAAGTAAATTTGACAGTCATTGGCGTAGAAATGAAAGGGTTTGTTGTGATTGCGGAAAATAGCGCCTAGTGGCAGCAGATATAAAGAAAAGAGAAGGGGACCAAGAATGGACCCCTGCGGTACCCACCACTGAAGCGCTGCTGATGCGGAACTGAAATCTTTGATACTGACACAAAAGGTTCTGTCAGAAAGGTAGGACCTAAACCAATTGAGGGCTGACCCTGTGATGCCCACCCACTGCTCTAGCCTAGAAATGAGGATCCCATGGTCGATGGTGTCAAAAGCAGATGTAAGATCCAATAGGACAAGCAGCATAGAATCACCTGCATCAGTGGATAGGAAAATGTCGTTGAAAACCTTCAGTAGAGCAGTTTCAGTGCTGTGAAGAGGTTTGAAGCCAGATTGGAATAACTCTAGGATAGCGTGATCCTCCAAGAAGCACTTCAACTGAGACTCAATTATTTTTTCCAGTAGTTTAGAGGTGAATGGGAGTGTGGAGACAGGCTGGAAGTTGGACACGACTGAGGAGTCAAGGTTGGGTTTTTTTTCTAGGGATGGGGCCGATCCGATCCAGTATCCGCATCAGGCTCCGATACCAGCATAATTTACGTATCAGATTTTCAGATCCAACCTGCCGATATTTCCGATCCATGATACAGGTCTGTGGTTGCGCTGCACGTTGGCTTCTAACTATGGAATGGATTTCCTGAACGAAGGCGTGTCTCATGAACCCAGAGTAACAAGACCCGCCTCACATTCAGGAAATCCATTTCATAGTTTGCAGCCAGCTACAATGTGAGGACTGAGTGAGCAGCACTGTGGCTAACAGCTAACAAACTTTTCATCGAAACATCCACTCTGTGGATATATTTTACACTAGAAAGTAAACACTAGTATTTCATTGTTTCTGACTGAGTTTATGCTTTTTGTTATTATTTCCTTGACTTTTGACACAACGTGATCTGATTTAGCATTTCATTGTTTCTAATTATGTTTTCGGTTTTATATTTTTATTCCATGTGCTGTAAATATATCTTGCTACTTTTTATTTGATGTTATGATATTTTTGTTAAGCACTTTGGTAACAGTTTCTGTTTTAAATGTGCTCTATAAATAAATCTGACTTGACTTGACTAGAAACGCCACAAAACAAGTAGGGTGCACCGATCCACTGTTTTTTTTTTTAACTTCCGATCCGATCCCAATACCTAAATCTAAATATTGGCCAATACCGATCCAGTTCCGATATCATCATCATCATTGATTATATGAGGTTGTAATAATCTCCTCTCAAGTACAATTTGTACAAATATATGCATGCATGTCCAAAAAGGCAACTTGAGGTAAGTATTATTAATGTTGGATAAGTTTTAAAGTTAGAATTAAATTCTGCTAACACAAAACATGTTCGTTTTTATTCCTAGCTTTAAAGTGGATATTAAAGTGATTAATTTAAGTAATTGTTTAAAGTTATTTTATATTTTTTAAATAAGGGGCAGATATGATTTTTTTCTTCTTTCTGCACTCTTTTCATTCAATGTTTTCATTTTGATGAATTTGTTTTGTTTCTTTTAAATGAATGAATAAATGAATTAAATTAAATGTTAAATGGCTTTAAACATCTGCTAGTTCAAGAAATATATATATATATATATATATATATATATATATATATATATATATAATTTTCTTGAAATTTTCAAAACATGTTTTTTTTTTTATTGTCTACTGTTGTACTGATAAATATCTCCTGCAGGGTAAACTATATCTTGGCTGCAAGTATCAAGCTGTGAAATCCTTTGTTTTCCACAACTGATAGTGGTTGGTCATTAATTACAATGAAGTTTAGCAACTTCTCTGTAAACATTCGAGCTCCGGGGCTTCAGCAATATGTTTTTTTGTTCAATCCGAAGCAAGCAGTCCGATTTCGGTCAGCCGTGCTCAGTCTGTCCCTCCTCCAACACAGACAGACTGAGTGGGTCAGACTGAGCGGGGCTGACCGAAATCAGACTGCCTTCTCCGGACTGAACGAAAATAACAGACCGCTGAAGCCCCGGAGCTCGAATGTCCATCGTAAAACTAACTTTACTGCGGTTTAATGTGGTGCTATGGCTCTGCAGACATTGCACGTTGCTGTCTTGTTTTATGGTGTTTCTAGTGTAAAATACTTCCACACAGCAGACATGTTTAGATGAAAAGCTGGTTATATATATATATATATATATATATATATATATATATATATATATATATATATATACATACATACATACATACATATTGTGGGGTTTTGTCCTGTCTCGGTCTGTTTCCTCATGTTTCCTGTTCAGCCCCTGTCTCACCTGTGCCTCATGTTATTCACTGCAGGTGTCTGTCGTTATCCCAATCAGTGTTGTGTGTGTATATTCAGCTCCTGTGCGTCTTGTCTTTGTCTCGGGATTATCCTTATGGTGTGTGTTTCTGCTTTCCGTCCTGTCCTGTTATCAGTAAGTAAGCTGCCCCATCAGCTTTTGGTTTGTCTTTGTAAAATAAATATTTTTGATCTTTTCATCGAGCCTCTTGTCATCCTCCTGCAATTGGGTTCAACACTCCTGACGGCAGAACGCGACAGAATCCCGAGACCATTCTGAACCCAGTGGGAGGATGATTACTTTGAGTTTTTGGCTCGTGAGGCAGAGAAGACGGCTCAGCGCAACAGAGAAAGGGATGAGAGAATTAAGAATCTATTTTGGGGGACCCGCCTGGCCATTAAACCCGGGTCCTCAGCCTCTCCGTCTCATTCCTCCTCATCTGTTCGTCACGCTGCTGCACCCCGCTGCCCACTTCCTCCTCGTTCACCTCCTAGCTGTCCCGAATCAGTGTTGGAAAGAAGGGGACGAAACATTGGTCCTCCCCGAGCCCAGCGCAAAAGTGGGAGAGCTTCGCGAGCAGGGGGAAACCCAGCTCTCTTACACACTGGATGAACGGCGGAAAATTTAACTGGGGGGAGGGTACCTGTATCCGCCAGAGGATCTGCTCGGCTCTCACTTGTTGGAGGAGCGAGGGGGGAATTCGCTGGGGGAGAGGAACCTATGCCCCCACCTGCCGGAGGAGCAGTACAGCCCTCGTTCGCTGGAGGAGCTGGAACGGTGGCAGGCTTCTGTGGTGGCAATGTACTTGGCTCCACTTCTGCCCCACTGCGAGGAGACCCAAGTGGTTGCTCCTCATTCCAGTCCTCCTGAGGGGTTCATGGCTCCTCGCCCACCTGCTGCAGCTCTGATTCCTGGTTCACCTGCTGCTGCAGCGCTGGTTCCTGCTCCTGACTCCCTAGCAGCAAGTCTGAACCCATCTCCTGATGCAGCTCCAATCTCTGGTTCTCCAACTGCAGCCCCGGCTCCTCCAGCTACAGCCCCGGTTCCATCACCTGCTGCTGCAGCCCCGGCTCCATCACCTGCTGCTGTAGCCCCGTATCTGGTCCCTGGTTCTCCAGCTGCAGCCCCGTCTCTGGTCCCCGTTCCTGGTTCTCCAGCTGTAGTCCTGGTACCAAACTCTCCAGCTGCAGTCCTGACTCCACCACCACCACCTGCTGCAGATCTGGTCCCCGGCTCTTCTCCTGAGGCCCCCAGCTCATCTGAGGTTCTCGCTCCTGGCTCTTCAGCTGAGGTCCTCGCTCTTGGCTCTTCTGCTGAGATCCACTCTACCGCAGAAGATCCTGGCTCTTTGGCTGAGATCTTCGTCGTCTTGTGTTGGCAAAATCCATCACATCTGTCCTTCCTGGTTTCTTTCCTTGACACCAAACCTACCATTCACTTCCTCATCCTCTCCGTTTCCTTCACCAACTTGTCTTTTCATATCTGCTCTGATCATCACGCTCTCCTTCTTGGAAATACTCTCTATCACTTCATCAAGATCTTTCCAAAATGTATCTTTCTCCTCCACATCACATCCAACATGTGGAGCATAACTGTTCATTCTAAGTTCTAGAATTGCGCCGCTTGGGGTGGCTGCATGTTGGAGCAGCTCTGTTACATTAATTCTGAGATTTTGCTTTTGAAAACTTTTAATTCCTCTTTTGCTGGGTGTAATTCACATTTTTTGGATGACTGCTTTCTTTGGTATCAGATGCTGTGCAGCTGGAAGGATTTTTACTGAAACTGTTTTAGTTTTGGACATTTGTTATGATGCATAGCCATAACAACAAGTGCTTTTTTTTTTTGGGGGGGGGGGGGGGGGGTGTGTTACAATCAGGAACAGCTGATTAACATCTCAAAACTCAAATAATATTTCAGCTAAAAGCCCCAAATCTTAAATGAGTTGAAAAGGAGGCACCATAGATGCATTCCCGTCTCCTTGCCCACTGTGCTTGAGTGCCTGACCACTGAGATCTTGGAACTTGCAGGAAACATGGCTCATGACAGCAGAAGGACCGAGATTGTCCCCAGACACCTGCAGCAGGCTGTCTGCAGCGATGAGGAGCTCGGCAGGCTGTTGAGAGGAGTGGCCATCGCTCTGGGAGGAGTTCTGTCTGGTATTAGGGCGTCCTGCTGCCCGGAGGAACTGAGAGGCCAGTAGAGTCTGGGTGGATGGATCAGACGGCATCTGTGGCCAGTTTCTTTGGCTCCACTGTGGGACGGATCTTTACAAGAGATGCTTCCTGCCTGCAACTATCTGCATCTATAACATCTCTTAATGAAATGAGGATAATGAGTTACAACTACATTTAATTTCCCTTTGAGATTAATAAAGTATTTTTAAATTGAATTGAATAACCACAGACAACATTTAGCATCAGACCTTCTACTTCTACCTTCAGACGCATCACCCTGTCTGGCACGCTTTTCACCTCTACTACATTCTTTGCCAACTCCTCCTTCAGGACCACCCCTACTTCATTTGTCTTTTTTATCCACACCATGGTAAAACAGTTTGAACCCTGCTCCAATGTTGCGAGCCTCGCTGCCTTTCCACTTGGTCTCTTGGACACATAAAACATCTACCTTCCTTCTCTGCATCATGTCAGCCAGCTCTCTAACTTTGCCTGTCATTGTCCCCACATTTAGAGTTGCCACCCTCAATCTTACATTTTTGACTTTCCTCTTCTCCCTCAGTCTCCTGACATGTTTACCCCCTCGTTCTCTTCGACTAATAATAAATAATAAAAATAATAAAAAATAAAAAAACTTCTCAGCAGAAGATGCGAGTCCTGACAGTGAACTCTGAAGGTCCAGGTATGTGTTGAAATGGGTCTGCATGAGTGCAAAAAAACATTTTTGGGGAGCTGATATTCATAGATGACACTGCCTGTCTGTGGACGCTGCAGAACGTTGAGTGACAAGATGACACCCTGTCTGCAGAGGTTTGACTGGGAAGAATGAAAACAATTAAAGCGAATGGCCAAAATAAAATTAAAAAATGGGATAAACTCACCACGTGTTGCGTAACACAAATTAAATAAAAACAGCTGATTTAATTTGAAGAGCTGGACTAACAGAACCACTTCAACTGGTAAAACAACTCCAAATTCAACCGGCATTCTTTCAAGGATGCATGCCAAAGGTTTCAACTGGAATCTTGTGTGATATCTTAGTGTTCAGATTATTTGTGGGGAATGACTCTCAGGTATAATCTATTTTAAATTTGTTATGGTTGTTTAGCAGTGGCTGGTGTCTACTTCATGAGGACTTTTTTTGCAGTAAAGCCGAACTAAACTTTATTTTTTGATGGCATCACAACAAGCTGCAAGGTCTGACTTTTTTCCCCTTTAGGTGCATCTGTGGATTACCTGTTGCCCCGCTTCTACCTGCCTGCCCACTCTCCACCTGTCATTTCAGATTAAACTCCACTATTTACCTTAATCTGTAGCAAATCCCTAAAAGTGATTAGATTTTCTGCCTTTGGGTCCAGTTTTCAGCCACACAAACTGACATCAAGCCAGGCAGTTTAGGCGGTATGACAGTTTGTTCCATCCATTTGATGTTTAGGTGCTTTTGCACTGATATGCACTCACTTTGAGCTGCTTTGGTATAAAAACTTGGGTCTGACTAAGCAGGATTTGCAAATGATTCATGCAAATGTTAAGCCTAGTCTTTGTGTTTTTGTTTGTTGCTTACAGTGTTTCATTTCATCTCTTTACTATTCATTAAAATTAATTTTTTTTCGATATAAATGCTTCATAAACTGACTGATCAGTTTATCTCAACAAATGCCCTTTATTGGACCATCAGTTATTTCTGCTATTTAAACGGAGTAAAAGAGGTCAATAAAATGTGATAACAGTTTAAACGTGTTAAAGGAAACGTGCAACTTCACCTAAAGAAACCTTTGCAGCCTTCACACGTCAGAGCATTGAAGTGGTAACCCTTGGCCAGATCGCCACACACTGCACACACCCTGGGCTCTTCATCCTCCATCTCCTTCCCCTCTTCATCATCCTCGTTCTCCTCGGTTTGCGCGCTGGCCAACTCGCTGAGTGTTTGTATACCAGATGCTTTCTCACTCATTCTCAACTGTAGAGGAAATCAAGAGAAGCAACTATAAACCACAACAAAACGTGCGTGGAATATACTGTTAAAAAAAAAAAAAAAAGCTTCAAAATAAACAACAAAAAAGTTACACAGGAACTGTTTTGAAAAATACAACAAAGTAAAGAAAATGCAATGTTTGTTAAATGTTCATGACATTTTAAAGCATATTTCCAGTTAATTTCGTCCCATAACAGAAATAAATAACTGTGAACAAACTGTTTTTATTCACCTGATGACTCCAAACCTTCGTGATTAGCGCTGAACTTTGGTCTTTTCATTGTGTTATGTCACATTTATTGATGGCTTTCTGTGTGTGTGCCCAATTTTGTTTTGCCCCCTGAGTATCCCTAGAATTTCCACTGTTTCTAAATGCATTTAGATAAAGATGCAACTTTTCTGCAGACATGTTCTGGTGCCTTCACGTGTAACATTCCAGTGTGGATTCTGCCTCTGCTACTCTTTTAAAAACAGTCACATAAATTCACATTCTGAAGCATTTAAACTGCTAAAATAAAGGTTTATTCTAAACTAATCAAAGACTAATCAAAGTGTTTACAGCAGAGAACTTGCAGAGCAGCAGTTTTAACCACTGAACTGAAATTAACTTTGCTTTAAGACACTTTATCCAACACTGATCCTAGATATAAAAATATAACTCCGGATGTTTGCTGAATTCAGACATTTAAAAAAATATTGGGTCTCTTGTCCAACCAGGTCACCCAGAATGTCTTACACAACACATCTCCCACGGGTCACACACACTTCAGGACAAATTAAGAAAGCCAAAGTAAATGTTTTGCTGTCAGTCGCTTCTAAATGTCTCTGCCTGGCACAGAAACTAATATTTCAGACCCACAGAACAGACTGTGTCCACCCTGACGCATTAAAAAAAAAACTGCAGACACTTCCTTTCCAGACCAGCAGCAGGTCAGTAAACCAACAGCGGAGGTCAGTGAACTCAATCACCTGATGACTCCAGATGTGCTGACAGCTTCCCCTTACTCAGGTCGATCCAGGTCGCGTTAGGACTGTGGGACCATAAAGCAGGTGGAACTGGAGAAAGTCGGACTCCTGACTTGTCGCTCGTTATTTCACACCGGCTTGGTTGGACACGTTTTACTGACTGATTCTCCAGGGGAGGCGGGGTTATAGATTTGAGCACCGCCCACTCGGTTCATGTTACCTTGGTTTCAAGCGTGACTTGAAAACGTCAAGGTGTTGAACTCTGCATTTTTATGGAAATTCGTTTTACCACATAATCAAGCCAGATTTCTTTCTTTAATTATTCTTTCTTTTAGATATCGATAATGGCATTTCTACGGTGGCCCTAAGGTTTAAATGAAAAACATTTGAAAAAACGGAATTACATTAAGCCTAACAGAGTTTTTTTTTTTTTTTACTTTATTAACAGCATAAAACCGAACAACAGAACAATATACAGTACATCCTGATGCATGCTCAATAAACCAGGTAGAAAAATCTAAAAAAGTTAAGTCAGGTCCTCTGGAGGCCTCTGTGTTTAACTGTCCCCCTCTTATCCTGATGCATGCTCAATAATCCAGGTAGAAAAATCCAAAAAAGTTCAATCTGGTCCTCTGGACATTCAAAAAAAACAAAAGCAAAACAAAGCAAAAAAAATCTAGAAACGTTTCGTCTCTCATCCAAGAGACTTCCTCAGTCTGAGGAGCTGTATTCAGCTCAGTCTCTTAAATAGCACCTTCTCAGAGTGGATCAACCATGAGAGACGAAACGTTTCTAGATTTTTTTTTGCTTTGTTTTGCTTTTGTTTTTTTTTGAATGTCCAGAGGACCAGATTGAACTTTTTTGGATGTCCCCCTCTTACAATGCTGTTATTGCTAGTATCATTTAGCCCCCTGTTAATACTAAACAGCCATCAGGGTGCTAATGATCCATTGTTAGGCTGATGGTCCTCCTTGACCATGTGAGCAGCTGGTTTTGAATGCCAGCAACAAACTGGTTGATCCACTCTGAGAAGGTGCTATTTATAAGACTGAGCTGAATACAGCACCTCAGACTGAAGAAGTCTTTCGGATGAAAGATGAAACGTTTCTACACTTTTATTTATTTGTTGTTGTTGTTGTTGTTTTTTGAAAGTCCAGAGGACCTGACTTAACTTTTTTTAGAATATCCAGTACACACATCTCCATTTTGTGTACTGTATATTGTTTTGTTGTTCAGGTTTATGCTGTTAATGAAGTAAAAAAAAAAAAAAAAAAAAAAAAAAAAAACTTCCTGTTTGGCTTAATGTGATTCTGTTTTTTCAAATGCAATTGTTTTTCTTAACCCTCTATGGTATGAAATTTTATTTTATGAGGAAAAAATATGTCACCCTAGTTTTGGGAGCTTGGGGGGGGGGGGGGGGGGGGGTTTTTAAAATTTATAAAAAAAAAAAATGGGAACCCCCCCCCCCCACCCGATTTTGGTTTGTTGCCTCAACAAGATGCTTTGAGGGTACTAAAACACCAAGGTTTTCTATATTATTTAATAAGTGGAATGAGGAACAAACAAGCAATAAATGCATTAGAAGAAGTTTTATTTCAATAACAACAACAATTTCAACAAGTTTTCTTTCAACAAACAGCCACAAATGGTTGATCAATTAATGCATTAAAGATTAGCTGCAGTGTGTGTTCATGTCTCTGAATGTGTGTTCCTGTGGGGGTACTGAATGACTGGGTTTCTCTTTTTTACAAAGCACAGTCTGTTTTATTCTGTATGGAACCTCTTGAAGCAGTTGCTGGTGGATGTGAAACAGAGGTGGGCGTCACATTTTTGGCACTTGGCTTTAGGTGTACTTTTGCATCCTGGTACCTTGCATCTCCCTTTCTTTTCATCCATGACCATCCAGAGGGTTGTGGCATCCAGATGCACATCAGGGACCAGAATAGGTGTAGTGGGGCCTGTGTTTAGTGCCAGCTACCTGGGACACTTGGGTGGCTCTGTTCCAAATGATGCGGGTGCCTGGTAATCCAAACAACGACATGTACACTGCTGTACCCATGAATTGCTCCAGTTCTTTTGTAGTGAGGGCTTGATGGTGTCACACTGAATGGCATATCAATTTGACTGCTCTACAACTACTTCCAGAATGTCTTCAGAAAAAAACATTGTGAAGTATTCGTAGGGGGAATTGATATTGCCTGATTTTGGAAGGCTGACCTGCCATTCTGGGTGATCAGTGATGTTGGCACTGTGGGGTGTTCTCCAACGGGGTAAGAGTGGAACATCTTCCTGTGATGCTTCATCATCTTCATTTTCCTCTTCATCCACAGACTCATTGTCATCAGGCAGGTCGTCTGTTTTCAAAAGAAACCAGTAAGCATAAAATTAGAATAGGTCATATATACCTCTCTTCACCCACGGATGCACACATGCACACACACGCACATACACCAGCACACGCACACACATGTTCATTCCATACAGCATGTTACTCTACAGACTGAACCCTGATCTCCTAACTCTCCCTCAAACCTGGTTCTGGAGTCCACTCTTCCTCACTGTCACTCTCCTCAAGTTCACTGTTCTCACTGTCGGAAGGAACGAGCCTAATCACTTGATCATGTTCCTTACACCCATAAATTGTTCTTGAATCCATTTCCTGTGAGTAATAGTAGATAGTACAGCAAAAAAAGTTGATTATGTTGATAACCATGCATCCTTACACATCTCCATCCATAAGCATGTTATGGTTCGCACAAAAGTGGTCTGACTGCACAATGTTGCCCTGAGGCAACGAATGAAAAACTGCCATTTGAGTATATAAATGAAGACAAAAAGTGTCTTTACTCAATCCAATATGCTTTTTCACTTATTCATACACATCACAGATATTATTTATACAAAGTTATTTAAATTTAAACATGTTAAAAAGTTAAATTTATCTTACCTTCTGCAAGCAATGTGTCCAAGTGGGCTGTTGTCCCAAAAAGGACTGTTTCACCCCAAGATGAAAGGTCAAAGTCACGCCCAGCTCAAATTTCATTGGTCACAGACTTATTATCAGACTTTGAATGTGATGTTTTATTTACAAAAAATAATTAAAGGGGTGTTGTGTGGGCCAAAATAGTGGTTTGTTGCCTGAGGGCAACACCATGCCATAGAGGGTTAATGTAATTCGGGCCACTTCCACTTCGGCCACTTCCACTTTGGCTTAATGTAATTCAGTTTTTTCAAATGTAATTCAGTTTTTTTCAAATTTTGTTCATTTACACCTTAGGGCCACCGTACATTCCACATGATTAAAAAACTTTATTTCTAGTACAAAGCAAAACACTATGTTTAAGTATCTAACAAGGTTGAGTCAGGTTCTCTGGACAGAGTGTTCTTTGTTGAAATGTTTCATCTGACCTTGTGCACAGACTGCACTCAGGGGAGGCCACGCCTAGTCTGTATGATTTACCCTGAATTCACAAATGAGGTCTACAATTAACACTGTTAGCATGATTAGCTGTCACTTACAATGTTTCAAAATATATGTTGCCTGTACCAGCGCTTAATTAGTAAAATGATCATGGTGCAGAGGTTAGAGAAGATGGGCCTGTGATCTCAAAGTCACAGGTTCAACTCCCCGGACTGACAACTTGAAAATGTGAGTAGAGAAGGTGAAACACCCACACCTGCATCCACCCTTATTTGTCTCACGCTGCCTTGAGCAATGCCAGTCCATGAGCATTCCTGTTGATGAGGCAGTAGAGGTGGTCAGTTTAAAATTAAAATCAGACACCACTCTGAGCAGCAGGACCACACTTTCCACAGAACAACTGGGTCAACTCTTGAAACTGTGCCTGCAGTCAACCTACTTCACATATGGGGAGCAATATTATAGGCAGAAACATGGGTGTGCCAGTTTCTCCTATTGTTGCCAACCTGCACATGGAGGAGGTAGAAAAGAGAGATCCAGTCCCCCGGCACAAACAGAGTAATGTTGTGTATGTTGTTCAGTGTCAGGAGGGTGATCAGTCTTACATCGGGGAAACTAAACAGCTACTGGCCAAAAGGATGGCC